TGGCCTGCTGTGTTCATCCAGCTCTACACCTTGTTTTCTCAGATTCTCCAGCATCTGCAGTTCCTACTATCTCTGAGAGAGAATAGAGTCTGTTAAAGATCAACGAGGTCATCATGTGTAGAACAACAGGAGATCGGAGAGCTACTAAACAAATGTTTTGTGTCAGATTTTACTGTGAGGGAAGAAAAAGAGGCCAGGAAACTCAGGGAAATAAATATTGATGTCTTGAAAACAGTCCACATTACAGAAGAGGAAGTGCTAGAGGTTTTAAAAACAGAAATGTGGACAAATCTCCAAGACTTGATCAAGTGTATCCCAAGGACATAGTGGGAAGTTAGGGAAAAAGTTGTGGGGCCCCTAGCAGAAATATTTGTATCATCTATAGCCATGGCGGGTACTAGAGGCCTGAAAGGTGGCTATTGTTGTACCTTTATTTAAGAAAGGCTGTAAGGAGAAGCCTAAAACTATAGACCTGCGAGTTTGACATTAGTAGTGGGTACATAGTTGGAGGGGATTCTGACAGATAGGATTTACATGCATTTGGAGAGACAGGGGCTGATTAGCGATAGTCAGTATGGCTTTGTGTATGGGAAATCGTGTCTCACAAACTTGATCAAATTTTTTGAGGATATAGCCAAAAAGATTGATGAAGGCAGAAAGGTAGACGTTGTCTACATGGACTTTAATAAAGCCTTTGACAAGGTTTTGCAAGGTAGACTAATTAGTAAAGTTGGATCACATGGGATTCAGGGAAAGCTTGCCAATTGAATACAAAATTAGCTTGACAGTAGGAGACAGAGGGTAGTGGTGGAGGGTTGGTTTTCAGACTGGAGGCCTGTGACCAGTGGTGTTCTGCAGGGATTGGTGCTGGGTTCACCTTTGTTTGTATTTTATATAAATGATTTGGATGAGAATTTAGGAGGCATGGTTAGTAAATTCGCAGATGATACCAAAATTGGTGGTACAGTAGACAGTGAAGAAGGTTATCTAAGATTACAAAGTGATTTTGATCAATTGGGCCAATGCACTGAAGAGTGGCAGATAGAGTTTAATTTGGATAAATGCGAGGTATTGCATTTTGGTGAAACAAGAAAGGGCAGGACATATACAGTTAATGGTAGGGTCCTGGATAGTATTATTGAACAGAGAGACCTAGGGTTTCAGGTACATAGTTCTTTGAAAATTGCAACACAGGTGGACAGTGTGGTTAAGGAGGAGGTTAGCACTCTTGCCTTCATTTCTCAGACCATTGAGTTTAGGAGTTGGGATGTCAAGTTGAGGTTATAAAGGACATTGGTGAGGCTGCTTTTGGAACACTGTGTACAATTCTTAGCATGTGAAGGGTCTGTTCCTGTTATTGGTGAGATTGTGAAAACAGTGGGACCCCTACCTGGCAGGTCATTTTGTGTATTTGAGGTAGCTTGTTGTGGATTTGAGATACTTTTGACAAGGAGATTTAAAAGATCTTGCTAGTGTCCCTTCATATCCCCTCCATACACCAAGTAACCTCCCTCCTCCATTATTCCCTTGCTACTTACACACCTTTTTCAGTACACCTTTACCCCACAATGGCCCCATGCATCCACCATACCCACTGTTCCAGTGTCTACTATGTACAGAACCAGTGAGTCTTTGACAAGTTTGGCAAATGCTTGTGAAACTGGCATAAGAAACAAAGTGACTTTGAAAGTCTCCTGATGGAAAACTGTTCATCTAACAATCTCATAAATGTATGAATCAACCACAGACCTTGTTACTGTTAATACTGTAATACTCTTGACCCCTTTTAGTCTGGTTCTAATAAACAAACAAGCATTGGAAAACCAAAGAAAGAATAACGTATTTCAACATCATTAAGCTGTCAATCAAACAAAGTCAACTCATCCATCCAAGCTGTGCAAACAGAAACTTTTTTGACATCAGTCAAGTATTGATTTGGCAAATCAAATGTCTGGCCGGCTTTTTAAGTGCTTTAGTTGATATGGGGGTTGACACAGGGCTAAGTGGCCTGACAACATGCAGAGGACTGGGCCAATGAACTAGGGAAGGCCTTCCTCCTGACTACCCAGTAGTCCATCATTGCCACAAGCCTGGCTAGAGCAGTGGTAGATCCGAACATCTGGGAGTCAGAGGAAGAAACAGGGTCAGGACCACAAAGTTAGGAAATGGGTTAATCTGCAGTCCTTGACAAAGATTCACTGACTTTCAATGAATATTTCAAACCATTTATTTTTATTATCAGTGTATTACACAATTAAAGGAAGTAACAACAAATTAATCTGATGGTTTTAAACTGTCTAATTGGTTTGATCCAAGCTTTAACTTAACGCGCTATGTAATTACCAAGGTTCTTTCTCCCTCATAGAATGCCATGCAAGTCATAGGTATAACAGCAGAGATTCAGATGATGGTACTACAGATTATTGGTGGAATTCTGCACCTTGGAAACATAAGTTTTACTGAAGTCGGGAATTATGCTGAAGTGGAAAATGAGGCTCGTGAGTAATATTAATTTCAATTCCAGTTGTGGAATGATGGTCAGTCATCCTTATGTTTGCAGGGATTTGTATGTGATAAATCAGCACCTGGTCAAATCAGTCGTATGGATTTTGTGGAAATATGTATCTAAACTTGTTTTCAAGCGTATTTGTTTAGATGTAGAAACTTCAAATTGAAACAAGGTAAACAATATTATTCAAGGAGATGTAAAATGCAGGTGTCGGTCAGCATTTCTTATATAACATACACCAATCAGATATTTTGCAGTTAGGTTCTAATTTTATGTAGCTCTACCAAACCCAGTCAAAAATGGTAGAACTGAACAAGTAACTAATGAGGAAGGAAGAATCCGTGAAAAACATAATCCTTTGCTCCAACAAAACATGTAGCAAAAAAAAGTTTACATGCAGCTTCAGCCAAAATGCCAAGGGCATGCTTCCTTCTCTTGACACCTCCATTTTGTCCGTAATCTAATACCTCAGGTCATTTCGTATTATATTATAAAGACACTGAATGCACTAGACATGGCAAACAGTGTTAGTCACAATGTCATCCCAGCAATTCAAAATTACGTGACATATGTGCCAGGCAGTGATCATTTCCAAAGTCCAATCACTACTGCACAACCTTCAATGGCATCACTACCACTAATTTCACCACCATCAGCATCATGACAGTATCCATTAGCTTCACTGGGCAGACACTAGCTACTGTGCGATGAGTGCTTACCTCATAATTCCCCACAATATCTCTTTCATCTACAAAGCTTAAGTTAGAAATCTAATGGAATATTCACCATTCATTCACAAATATGAAGCTGCAACATCATTCAAAAAGCCATCTAGAAAAAGGCAGTTCATTTGATCAGTGATAACAAGGTGAAGAGCTGGATGAACACAGCAGGCCAAGCAGCATCAGAGAAGCAGGAAAGTTTTGGGTCTGGATCAGTGACTTTGCCACTCACACTCAATGTTCATTATGATCTATGCCACTGCACTGTGTAGTGTGTACTAGCTGCAGGATGCACAGCTCCAAATCATCAACTTTACTTTCACAAGAGCAGGGAGATGGGAAAGACCCAATCATTTCCAAGTCATAGAATAGACAGGAATCTATACAACTCAGCACTTCCTTTAGAGCTGTCTACTTCACCACCCCGCACCCCCCACCCCAAATACCTTGGGGAAATGGGATTACCACAGCAACTGCAGAGCATTGACAAAGAGTGAATTACCAATTCCTCTGCAATCTTGAAAGCACTTAGGCTGCACATAGCCAGAAAAAGATGCAATCATTCAAATTGTATTTACAATAACAAAGCAGATTTGTGTTTTTAACCTCGCAGGAGGAGTAGATAACACAACCTTTATAGAAGGTACCTAATTTTCACTCAATTTATAGAATTATAATTATAACTATAATTATAATTAAATGGAATCTTCAGCAGGCAGGTCACCTGCTCCATCAGATTGGGGCCCATGCAGTAAAGATTAAGATCAATCCAATGTTAAATAACATTATACAGGATTGTGAGCAGACAAATGGTAAGGTACCTGCATATAAATTCAGTGCTACTGTTGCCTTTGCTGAGATTGATAGAACCATAGAAATGATACTGCACAGAAGGGATCCATTCACCCATCTTATCCATGTTGACCCAAAAACACCCAGATGCCCTTTCTAATCCCATCGTCCTGCACACAGCCTAAGGCCCTGCAGCTTATAGCACTTAGGGTGCAGATCCATGTACTTTTTAAAAGAGGTTGGTGTCACTGCCTCCACCACCAATTCAGGTAACAAATTCCAGACACCGACCACCTTCTGCATAAAAACTTTTTTCCTCACATCCCTTCTAATCCTTCTGCCACTTAGCTGGAATCTATGACCCGTGGTTTCTGTCAAGGGAAACAGGTTCTTCCTCTATCTCTACCTCTATCTCTATTCCCCTCTATCTCTACCCCTCACAATTTTGTATACCTCAATTGTGTCACCCCTCTGCCTTCTCTATTCCAAGGGAAACAACCCCTCCTCTCCAATCTCCCCTCATAGCTACAATTCTCCAGCTCTGGCAACATTTCTAGCAAACCTTCTCTGTGCTGTCTTCAGAGAAATTATGTCCTTCCTGTAATGTGGTGATCAGAGCTGCACACAATACTCCAGGTGTGGCCCCACCAGTGTCTTAAACAGTTGAATAATTTTATTCCTATTTTTGTATTCTACACCTCCGCCAATGAAGGAGAGCATTCTTTATGCCTTATTTACAATCTTACCTACCTGTACTGCTACATTTAGAGACATGTGCATTTGCACGGCAAGATCTCTCACTTCAACTACTTGTCTCAATGTATTCCCACTTGTTGTGTATTCCCTTTTACTGTTTGACCTCCCTAACTGCATTACCTCATACTTATCAGAGTTGAACTCCATCTGTCATGATCCTGCCCACTCCCCCAACCCATCTATATCATTTTGGAGCCTACAGCTAACTTCTTCACTATCCACTATCCACTGGCCAATTTTTGTGTCATCTGCAAATTTCCCAATTGTGATCCTCACGTTCAAGTCCAAATCGTTAATGTATAAAACAAATAGCAAGGGTCCTAACATTGAGCCCTGCGGAATACCACTTGAAATAGTTTTCCATTCGCAAGGGCAGCCATCAACCGTTACCCTTTGTTTCCTGTTACTAAGCCAACGTTGGATCCAATTCAACACGTTACCCAGTATGCCCAGAATGGGAACTAAATATCCAAGAATATGTGTCCTATTGAAAGACAGGCAGTTGGGTAGGGGGCAGAGTTATCTTGTTAATAAGAAATTAAATTATATCGATCACAAGGAGTGATATAGAGTCGGGAAGCATAGTATCTGCATGGATAGAGTTATAGAGTTATGCACTTATACAGTATGGAAACAGCCCCTTCAGTCCAATTCATCCGTGCCAAACAGATATCCTAAACTGATTTAATCCCATTTGCCAGCATTTGGCCCATATCCCTCTAAACCCATCCTATTTATGTAACCATCCAGATGCCTTTTAAATGTTGCAATTGTACCAGCCTCCACCACCTCCTCCGGCAACTCATTCCATACACATATTATCCTCTGCATAAAAAGGTGTCCCTTAGGTTCCTTTAAAATCTTTCTCTGAACAGCAAAAGAATGGGAGTTCTCAACAGGCCTCCTAGCAGTAGTCAGAACGTAGGGCAGAAAATAAATCAGGAGGTGGAAAGGGTATGTAAGAAAGGCACTATTGCAATAATTATAGGGAATTTCAATATGCAGGTGGACTGGGAAAATCTGATTGGTCACAGATCCCAAAAAAGGAATTTATAGAATGTCAATGAGACATTTTTGGAGCAGCTTGTGGTAGACCCCACTAGGGAACAGGCTATTCTGGATCTGGTGATGTGTAATTAGATAGATTTGACTAGGGAGCTTCAGGTGAAGGAACCCTTAGGGGACAGTAACCATAACATAATAAAATTCACCCTGCAGTTTGACAGGGAGAAGTTTGAATCAGATGTAACAGTATTGCAATTGCATGAAGGCAACTACAAAGACATGAGAGAAGAGTGGCCAGAGTTGTAGAGTCATGGAGTCATAGAGATGTACAGCACAGAAACAGACCCTTCGGCCCAACTCATCCATGCTGACCAGATATCCGAGATAAATCTAATCCCATTTGAAAGCACTTGGCCCATATCCCTCTAGACCCTTCCTATTCATATATCCATCCAAATGCCTTTTAAATGTTGTAATTGTACCAGCCTCTACCCCTTCCTCTGGCTGATTAGAAGGGAAGCCTAGCAGAGAAGGTGATAGAACAGCAATGGTAGGAGTTTCTGGGGATAATTCTGGAGCTACAGCAAAAATTCATCCCAAGGAAGAAGAAACATGATTAGGAGATGATGAGGCAACTATGGCTGACAGGGGAAGTCAGGGACAAGAAAAAACAAAAGAAAAAGTATACAGTGTGGAAAAGATTGGTGTAAAGTCAGAGGATTGGGAAGTCTTTAAAAACCAATAGAGAATAACTTTAAAAAAAAGCAATAAGTGGGGAGAAGATGAAATATGAGGGTAAGCTAGCTGGTTATATAAGAGAAGATTGCATGAGTTTTTTTTTCAATTATTGAAAAGGCAAGAGAAAGTAAGAGTGGATATTGGACCATTGGGAAAATGAGGCTGGGGAAGTAGTAATGGAGAACAAAGAAAAGAACTGAATAGGTACTTTGCATCAGTCTTCATGATGAAAGACACCAGTAGCATATCAGAACTTCGAGAGAGTAAGGGGGCAGAAGTGAGTCTAGTGGCCACCACTAAGTCATTGCTGGGGAATCTGAAAGTTCTGAAGATGGATAAAACACCTGGACCAGATGGACTACACCTCAGGGTTCTGAAGGAGAAAGCTGAAGAGATTGTGAAGGCATTGGTGGCAGTCTTTCAGGAATCACTGGAGTCATGGAGGGTGCCACAGGGCTGGAAAATGGCTAATATAACACCCCTATATAAGAAGGGAGGGAGGCAGAAGACAGAAAACTACAGGCTGGTTCGCCTTACCTAAGGTTTGGTAAGATTTTAAACTCCATTTTAAGGAATGAGATTGCTGAGTACTTGCAAGTGCATGATAAAATAGGGCTGAGTCAGCGTGGCTTTGTCAAGGAGACATCATGACAGACAAACCTGTTAGAATTCTTTGTGGAGGTAGCAACGAAACTTCAGAGTAATTCAGAAGAAATGTGAAGAAAAGTCATATGTGAAGGAATGTTAGTTGAATGCATTGTCTCCCTCATTTGTATTGAACTTTGACTGTTCATTTTCACTTTAACATTATCAAATGACCGTTTAAAGGAATTACCATTTATTGCTGCCTAATGAATAATACATTTTATAGATTATGAAAAAACATTCAATCATTGACTGGATTAAGTTCATGACTTCGCTGAAAGACATTGGAGAGGACTGGGGTTACAGGTACTTCATAAGAAATATGTACATAGGACAAATAGCAACTGTCACAGTAGCCAACAGTGAGTCAGAGCTGTGTGTAATTCGCCAAGCAGCTTAGCAAGAGTGATGTTTATAACCAATCCTCTTGAAGGTCGAGAGCAGCAATGATCAAAGAAGTGTTTGACGACATAGATTCTGGTTATTAGTTTGTTGACAGTGCACAGCAAATGATAACCTCATTTAGATTTTTGCAGATGACAAAGCATTTGCTGCAAACACAAAAGAAGATTTACAAGAACTGGTGCATAGATTAGTAGATGGAGGCATGAACTTTGGAACAAAAGTGAACATTGGCAAAACGAAAGTGGTGCATGTCTCAAAATCACCAAGAAATATTCACAGAGGGATAAGAACTAGATTAGGGGCAACAGTTGAAGCATTTAGGAAGCATAATATCTGCAGATAAACGATACATAGAACAAGAAAGTAAAAACAAGGATAGCAATGGGAAAGGCTGTATTTGGTAAGAAGGAACAGCTGCTGACTAGAAACCCAAATAAACAACTCAAAAAGTGACCTGTAAAGTATTGTTTTAAATGGATGTGAGACTTGAATCTCACAGAAGAATACCAACATTATAAAAATCCTTGAAATGGCGATTTGGAGGAGAACAGTAAGGATCTGTTGGACAGAAAGAGTAACAAGTGAAGTGCTGGGGAGAGTGACCAAAGATATTTGTTTAATGTAATTAAAGAAAGGCAGAGAGTCCGGGTTGGGCACAGTTAAAAGGAAATTGGTTTGTAAGTTACAAAGGGGAGATTTCAGGGAAGAAGAGAGAGATGAGGGAAGAGAATATAACTGTTGGATGGCTTGAAAATTGAAGCAAGTTATTTGTAAATAAACAAAATCACACAGGATAGAGAGATGTGAAAAGAGTATTATGAGCAAAATAGATGCTCTCTGGTGGAACACCAATAATGATGATGAATCATTAATTGCTGGAGACTGGAGTTGGAAACTGGGGCACAAAGAAAAATATTCTGTGATCAGATTTATTTAACAATAGCATAAAGAAACATTCCTGTTATTGAGTTATCTCCTTGGCCAGAATCACCATTATGCATCTATTTTGTGGAGTAGGTTTGTAAATCTCAGAGCATAAACAATAAATTAGCAATGTTATCCAAGCTTTGTTAAACAGGAATTAATTGCTATTCCTAATATTCGACAGTGCTTTTTAAAATATTAATGCCCTTAATATTTGCTGATACAGAAACAAGGACCGCACCATCAATAATTGATATACTTTCTCTGTTTGCATGAAGACTTGGCTTTTCCTGCATTCCTGCTGGGAATCAATGAAATGAAGTTGAGAGAGAAAGTGACCAGCAGGAAAATGGACAGTAAATGGGGAGGCAAGACAGAATCCATCAACATGACCTTAAATGTGGAGCAGGCAGGATACACCCGAGACGCACTATCGAAAGCCCTCTATGCGCGGTTATTTGATTATTTAGTAGACGTAAGTATTTCTCAAATTAATAATGATTTTGAATGTGAGAAAATCTGACCAAATTTATCTTATCTAGACTGGGAAAAATTATGAACAAAAATAAGGAATAACTGCTTCAGCCCTACTGGCAGCACTGCCTCTCAAATCCACCTTTGTTGCATGTTCTTTGCTACCCTTCCCTAATGCACATCTTTCAATCTCATTCATAGGAAGCAAATTCAAAATTTCCACCATTTGTATAAAAAAAGTGTTCCAAAGTGATCTCGCGCTCATTTTAATGTTACTCCCTATTATTCTGGAATCCTCCAACAGAGGAGGTAGTTTATTTTTATGCGCCCTATTTCGAATTGTTTTAAGTGTTTTGATTACATTACCCTAAGATTTTCATAACTGAGTGCAAGCTAAATTAATGCAACTATCCCTCGTAATTTAACTCCTTAAGATTTGAAAAATTCTCATATATCTGTGCAGTGTCCCTTCCAAAGCAAGTTGGTGTCCAAACTGAATGCTGGGATCTTCCAAATGGGGTGTGAGCAAAACTCTGTGCAGCAGAAGTATCACTTTCTCACTTTTGAATTCCAATTCCCTAAAGATAAAGGGCAGAATTGCACCCGATTTTCTATTTACTCAATTTACCCGTACACTACCCTGTGCGATTGGATTACATTAGCACCAAAATCTCGTTTCTGTTTCACAGACCTTTGTCTTTCTGCATCCAAAAGATATTTTACTTTGTCTTTCTTTTATCCAAAGTGGAAAACCTCATCCCTTCTGCATTGCACTCCATCTGCCATAACGTTTCCCACTCAGTTAATGTATTTATATTGTTTTTTACCTTCCTGATACCATCTCCACGACATATCATGTCTCCTAAGCAGTTTCCTTCTGTTAAATATTGCTAAAAGGGGAATTCAGGGAGCTCTGACTTTGCCATATGACTTCCACTCACCACCTGCTCTACCCCTGAATCTTCAAGTAAATGCATAAGAGATTTAGTTACATACACTGTTTGTGCACCTAACCCATAGAAGCAGCAGAAATTCAGACCATAAACGTGTTACTCCCATATGGTGGGACTGGCTAATGTAACGGAATATCTCAATCTATGTCCTTAGCTGGTCCACCCATATGTTCATCGCCAATATGACATATTAAGTCCCATTTATGGCCATGGTATTGCTATTGCTGCTGAACGATGGACGTGGACATACTATTGACCATAGTGAACTGGTGGGATTTCCCAGGGAGCTTCGATTCCTGCCACTGAGTGGATAAAAGATGCACCAACTAATGTTCCTTTCTGAAACATAGCAACCAGGCCTGAAAGAGATTGAAAAGTATCAGAAACTGGTTCTGCCTAAAATTTCCTCCCCCATCCTAGCATCTATGCTACATGAGTTGTGTGCCCAAAGCATAGTTTTCTCGGCTTCATTTTCCAATTGGCAATAAACAATGCAATGTTTGAAAAGTAATACAAAACGTAATAAGGAGATGAATAAGGACATCTTGCTGCAATTATACAGGGCATTGGTGAGGCACACATGGAATATTGTGTGCAGTTATGATGCAGTCTTGCGGTAGAGGGAATGCAGCAAAGATTTACCAGATTGATTCCTAGGATGGCAGGACAGGAGAGATTGAGTTGGTTAGGATTGTATTCAGGTTATCTAATAGAAAACTACAAAATTTTAACAGAACTAGACCAGAAGGATGTTACTAATGGTGGGGGAGTCCAGAACCAAGAGTCATTGTTTACTGACAGGGGGTAAATCTTTTAGGACTGAGATAAGAGAAATTCCTTCACCCAGAGGAATTCACGACCACACAAAGTGGGTGAGACCAAAGCATTATGTGTTTCAAAGTAGTTATAGCCCTTGTGACTAAAGGGACCAAGGGATATGGGGGTGGCTGGGATTACAGTAATGAGCTTGATGCTCAGTCATGGTCCTATTGAATAGTGGAGCAGACTCGAAGGATTGAATGGTCTACTCCTGCTCCTATCTCTCTGTTTCTATATTTCTATATTATGTTATGCTCAGTAACAATTTTCATTTGAATGAATTCCTTGCCAATCTTGGAAAAAGTATAGTAAATGAATGGGATTTCCAAAATGTAATACATAATTGATGTTTCTTAACATGTTCTAACAAATTAGCTAATCATTCATGATCTTTAAACATCTTTATTAATTGCACATCCATTTCATTCCTTCTGTTTAGGCTGTTAACAAGGCAATGCAGAAACCATATGAGGAATACAGTATAGGAGTGCTGGATATATATGGCTTTGAAATTTTTCAGGTATCGTATAAAAATTTAAACTCAGGAGCTAGGCTTAATTTCAGAATCCAATTTTGCAAATGTGAATTATAATTTGAAAAGTAATTTCTGTCCTTTATAACAAGGTGGAATTCAAGTTTATTTTGTTCTAGAAATTAATGTTTAATACATATTCCTGCAAAGCAGCAACAAACACTGCGCACTCAATGCAAAAATCCATCATAAATTTTATGCAAATAGGGCAGATTGGATTGAGGCGTTACAGAGTGTCATGTTGCAGTTCAAGCTTTTTCTAACACTCTGTTGTAATGTAAAAGCTTTAGTGACATATTTTGCAAACAGTGTGCTACCCTATGAAGCCATCTCTGCCTATTGTATTGTCTTCTGCAAACTGCTGAAGTCTAACAATACATTGCAATTACAGAAAAATTACTGATTGAAGAAATGGAAGGTGACAAGTGTGTCATCTCTCAATTGAGAAGGCAGGAATATATTTCTAAAGCAAGGCCTGTAACTTGTCAGATTTATGAGGCTTAGTATTTATAACTGTAATGATGAACACAAGTTACTGAATACTAGCATCGACCTAGGCACTGGAAAAGACAATGGTGGAAACAGCCCTGGCGACCCTGCAAAGTCCTCCTCACTAACATCTGGGGTTTAGTGCCAAAATTGGGAGAGCTGTCTCACGGCCTAGTCAAGCAACAGCCTGACATAGTCATACTTACAAAATCATACCTTACAGACAATCTCCCAGACACGACCATCACCATCCCTGGATATGTCCTGTCCCACCAGCAGGATAGACCCAGCAGAGGGGGTGGCACAGTGGTATACAGTCGGGAGGGAGTTGCTCTAGGAGTCCTCAACATTGACTCTGGACCCCATGAAGTCTCACAGCTTCAAGTTAAACATGGGCAAAGAAACCTGCTGCTGATTACCACATACTGTCCTCCCTCAGCTGACGAATCAGTACTCCTCCTTGTTGAACAACACTTGGAGGAAGCACTGAGGATGGCAAGGGCACAAAATGTACTCTGGGTGGGGGATTTCAATGTCCATCATCAAGAGTGGCTCAGTGGCAGTACTACAGATCGAGCTGGTTGGGTCCTAAAGGACATAACTGCTAGCTTGAGTCTGTACCAGGTGGTGAGGGAACCAAAAAGAGGGAAAAACATACCTGACCTCATCCTTACTAATCTGCCAGCTGCAGTTGTATCTGTCCATGACAGTATCAGTAAGAGTGACCATCGCACAATCCTTGTGGAGACGAAGTTGTGCCTTCACATTGAGAATAACTTCCATCGTGTTGTGTGGCACTATCACCGTGCTAAATGGGACAGATTTTGCACAGATCTAGCAACTCAAGACTGGGCATCCATGAGGGACTGTGTACCATCAACAGCAGCAGAATTGTTCTCCAGCTCAATCTGTAACCTCATGGCCCGGCATATCCCCCACTCAATCATTACCATTAAGCCAGGGGATCAACCCTGGTTCAATGGAGAGTGCAGGAGGGCATGCCAGGAGCAGCACCAGGCATACCTAAAGAGGTGTCAACCTGGTGAAGCCACCAAACAGGACTACTTGCATGTTAAACAGCAAAAGCAGCAAGTGATAGACAATGCTAAGTGATTCCACAACCAACAGATCAAATCTAAGCTCCGCAGTCCTGTCACATCCAGTTGTGAATGGTGGTGGACAATTAAACAACTCACTGGAGGAGGAGTCTCCACAAATATCCCCATCCTCAATGGTGGAAGAGCCCAGCACATCAGTGCAAAAGATAAGGCTGAAGCATTTGCAGCAATCTTCAGCCAGAAGTGCAGAGTAGATGATCCATCTCGGCCTCCTCCAGTGGTCCCCAGCATTACAGATACCAGTCTTCAGCCAATTCAATTCACTCCACATGATATCAAGAAACTGTTGGAAACACTACATACTGCAAAGGCTACAGGCCCTGACAACATTCCGACAATAGTACTGAAGATTTGTGCTCCAGAACTTGCCGCTCCCCTAGCCAAGCTGTTCCAGTACAGTTACAACACTGGTATCTACCCGACAATGTAGAAAATTGCCCAAGTATGTCCTGTACACAAAAAGCAGGTCAAACCTAACCCAGCCAATTACCGCCCCATCAGTCTACTCTCGATCATCAGTAAAGTGATGGAAGGAGTCATCAACAGTGCTATCAAGCAGCACCTGCTCAGCAATAACCTGCTCAGTGACGCCCAGTTTGGGTTCCGCCAGGGCCACTCAGCTCCTGACCTCATTACAGCCTTGGATCAAACATGGACAAAAGAGCTGAATTCCAGAGGTGAGGTGAGAGTGACAGCCTTTGACATCAAGACTGCATTCAACCGAATGTAGCATCAAGGAGCCCAAGCGAAACTGGACTCAATGGGTATAAGGGGGCAAACTCTCCGGTGGTGAGAGTCATACCTGACACATGAGAACATGGTCATGGTTGTTGGAGGTCAGTTATCTCAGCTCTAGGACATCTCTGCAGGAGTTCCTCAGGGTAGTGTCCTAGGCCCAACCATCTTCAGCTGCTTCACCAATGACCTTGCCTCCATCGTTAGGTCAGAAGTGCGGATGTTCACCGATGATTGCACAATGTTCAACACCATTCGCAACTCCTCAGTTACGGAAGCAGTCTGTGTTCAAATGCAATAAGATCTGGACAATATCCAGGCTTGGGATGACAAGTGGCAAGTGACATTCGCGCCACACAAATGCCAGGCCATGACCATCACCAATAAAAGACAATCTAACCACCACCCCTTGACATTCAATGGTGTTACCATAACTGAATCCGCCTATCAACATCTATCAACTATCAACATCCTGGGGGTTATCATTGACCAGAAACTCAAATGGACTCACCACATAAACACAGCACTACAAGAGCAGGTCAGAAGCTAGGAATACTGTGGCGAGTAACTCACCTCCTAACTCCTCAAAGCCTGTCCACCACCTACAAGGCACAAATCAGGAGTGTGATGGAACACTCCCCACTTGCCTGGATGGGTGCAGCTCCACCAACACTCAAGAAGCTTGACACCATCCAGGACAAAGCAGCCGTTTGATTGGTACTACATCCACAAGCAACCACTCCCTCCACCACCGATGCTCAGTAGCAGCAGTGTGTACTATCTACAAGATACACTGCAGAAATTCACCAAAGATCCTCAGGCTGCACCTTCCAAACCCATGACCACTTCTATCTAGAAGGACAAAGGCAGCAGACATATGGGAACACCATCACCTCCGAGTTCCCCTCCAAGCCACTCACCATCCTGACTTGGAAATATATCTCTGTTCTTTCACTGTCGCTGGGTCAAAATCCTGGAATTCCTTCCCAAATGGCATTGTCGGTGAACCCACAGCAAGTGGACTGCAATGGTTCAAAAGGCAACTTCTCAAGGGCAACTAGGGATGGGCAAGAATTGTTGACCAGCCAGAGACGCCCACATCCCACAAATAAATAGGAAAAAAACTAGAAGATTCTCAAACATTGAGGATATTTCCTTTAAATTGCAAACAACTTCTATGAAGTTAGGCGAACAAAATGATGACATGTAGCTTACCTGGATTTCAATAACTGCATTTTCTTCCATGACATGAGATTGAACATGACAGCCGCTGTAAATTAGAGTCCGCCTGACATTCTCATTGTCACCATGTGAGTGGTCCCTTGCAGGCTTCAATGAGTAGTCTCACATTTTCAAGCACCATGAAATCAGCAATCAAAAGAAGGGAGACACGCCGCTCCCTTTCTCTTTCTTCCACCACCACTCCACCCTCCCAAACCTCCAACCCAGTGACACCCTTCCTCACAATCCATATCCCAACCTCATTCACACATGGTTCAGGGTTTTTTGATGATCTTGATCTTCCTGTGGGGCATTACCAGCCATGACCACTGCACTCCCAGCAGCACTATAGCAATGAGGAGGAGCCAGCCTCAACACGACAGAGCCGGCCTCTGATTGTCCAACAACTCTGGGGCTTGATGGGATTTCCATCCCAGGGAAGGCCCATCACTGGCCATTTCATTGGCATCATGGGGTTTTGGCTGCCTGTCCAGCCAGTAGGCCGACCCCCTTTGCCTGGAATAATTTCCACTCTTCATTTCTAACAGGTTTCATAATAGCCATACATTATGTCTATTTGAATCAAAATCGAGATACTGTCGTTCTAACACTCTATTGTTATCTTTTCCTTCTGATTCACAGAAAAATGGATTTGAACAGTTCTGCATTAATTTTGTAAATGAGAAGCTTCAGCAGATTTTCATTGAGTTAACCCTCAAAGCTGAACAGGTACATTACTGCATTTAAGATAAGAAACAAGAATAAGAATTAAACTGAGGCGGCAGTGCTGCCTCACAGCTCCAGGGACCTGGGTTTGATTCCACCTTCGCACAGTTGTCTGTGTAGATTTTGCATGTTCTCCCTGCGTCTGTGTAGGTTTCCTCCGGGTGCTCTGGTTTCCTCCCACAGTCCAAACACATGCAAGTTAGGTGGGATTGGCCGTGCTAAATTGCCCATAGCGTGCAGGGATGTGGGGGCTAGGTGGATTAGCCATGAGAAATGCAGGGTTACAGGGACAGAGTGGGTCAGGATGAGTTGCTCTTCGAGGATCATTGTGGACCTGATGGACCTGATGGCCTGCTTCCATACTGTAGAGATTCTACCGTTCTAATATCAACTGGCTTCCTCAGACTAAAACAATTTTCGAATTTTGTCAGCCATTTCACACATTTCCATGGGAAGTGAATGAAATGTAGGGAGAGGAGGAGGGAAGTGGAGGCAGGATATACCAGCCAGAATGGAAGGAGCTTTACAAAAACATTAAAATAGGATGGTGAATGTCCTGCCCTTTTATCTTCTAAAATCTATCCTTGACACTCATCTTGATGATTGATGGGTATCCATTAAGAAATAACTAGTCATGAATGGTGATTCATTTAGCACAATCATTAGCTCTTTGCTGGATGTGTTTCTTTTCTACTGGCACATGGTTCCTTATGAATCATTGTACTGTTTGCTTTATTTTCTCCCCCAACACCATTAACTGTTGCCAATAAGCTTCCCAAACAGAATATACCTATTTTGTGTGCTTTAGAAGAAGAAAAGAGGCTCCAAAAAGGGATGGTCCAACAGGTCTGGCTGCATATGAGGTGTTCTGGTATTTAAGCACCTGATGCTGAAACTGAATGAATCCTTGTAGCAGAGTGGGCAGAATTCTTATGTTTTGGGGTTGGGACCACAATATCATAACCAATTCCAGACCTGAGGCCTAAGGTCATTTTTCAATGGCTGGGTAATCAGTTAATAATTCTTACAAACCAGTTAAGCCAATTCCAGCACACAAAGATCAGCAGCCCTACTGTCAGAGGTGAAGGCTGCCACTGTAAGGAACAAAAAAAGGCACCTCAAGCTTCAAGTATACTCTTAAGAACTTTCAACAAAGGTGAACATATATTAACTAGAATAGCCAGACCACTACATTGGAGGAAGAGTTCCTTCCATGGGGCATTTCATCCCATAAAAATGCTAAGAGATTTGGGATAATTGTGGGGCGGATGATGGGAGAGATGTTAAAAAGTTATTTCGAGCACCGGCCCTTGGCCTGCCACTAGGAGATACTTCAGTTCATTGGCCAAGATTTTCCGCTGCTGGTGTGCCCCATTGTTAAGTGAGAAATTCCTGTTTGTATTCCCCAGTTGCCCTTTATCAGACTTTAAGTATCTTATTGGCTACCCACCACTTGCAGATGGGTAAACATCAACTCCTGCCCCAATCCCTAGCCATTCACTTCTACAATGATCCCAAGGCAGAATGTGTCAGCAAACCAACATCCCAGTCTCAGTGTGGCCAAGTCCTCCCATTCCTGGTCCTGCTTTATTATATTCATCCAAAATTCTGTCAATGCAGTTCAATATGGCAAAGTATGAGAAAGTCCAATTTGGATCTGCAAAAGATCAATCAAAATATTTGAAGTCATACGAATCTGAAGTTTGAACTATGCATAATTCTAACAGTTAGATAACTTTGCAAAGGTCACACTTCCAGTGCAGGTGCGAAATCTTTTTATATTAATTTTAAACTGTGTTCCTATCAGAAAATTGAGGCCTGTTTGTGCATTTATGAGAGGCCAGAGAACATTGTCTATATTCTGATATAGTTTATCAAGAATCGTGTTGACCATTTCTAACTCAATTTCTTTCATCAATATCTTTATACCTGTAACCTGGAGCTTGTGATTTTTTTGCCACTGCTAAACCATGAAGGGTTAACAAGATTTCAGTATTATTTTGACATTTGCTTTCTTTAAAGCAGAAGCATGAATACTGCTTTAGAATGTTTTGCTCCATTAAACCACAACAAATGCATGTTGTTGTTGTCAATCAAGGTGGAGTCAGGATATCCACGTTGCAAGACGTTTTTGTAGTAGCTTCCTGGCACCCTCTTGCAAAAGCCATGACACACTCTCATAAATGTTATGGCAAATTTAAACTGGGTGCATATCTCTAGAATGTAGGCTATCATCCCGACCTGATCTTAATATATTATTAATCATATTTAATAAGGATATTGTTTGAAATTGAAAGGATTAAGGCTACACTGTGGAGAAGTATCTTACAACTTGGACTGAGGCATAAACCTGCTCCAATCAATTGCACTTCACAACATGCTTTGTCTTTCTCTCCAACAGGAAGAGTACGTGCAGGAGGGGATTAAATGGACACCCATTCAATATTTCAATAACAAAATTGTCTGTGATCTGATAGAAAACAAACTTGTAAGTGATTTTCCCATTGATTTAAATAAGGAACTTATCAAAATGTCTGCCGTTCATTGGGTCTATCACAATTTGACACATTTTCAGAACTGCAGGATTGAATATCTACCTCATAACTCATAAGCAAACATTTACTGTCAATTAGAGACAGTAAGAACTGCTGATGCTGGAGTCAGAGATAGCACAGTGTGGAGCTGGAGGAACACAGCAGGCCAGGCAGCATCAGAGGAGCAGGGAAGCTGACGTTTTGGCTCAGGACCTGTGAAGAAGAGTCCCGACCCAAAACGTCAGCTTTCCTGCTCCTCTAATGCTGCCTGGCCTGCTGTGTTCCTCCAACTCCACACTGTGTTACTTACTGTCAATTATGTGTCTTAAAAATTTGGTCAGGAATATCACTGTTCTCTGCAAAATTGGACTTGATTGTTTAAATAGAAATTTTATTCATTTTATTTGAAAACTCTTAAAATAATCCCACTGAATTATAATGCATTTCATAAATCTGATGTATTATGAATAATTTCACATTTCATACGTGCTTATCAATAAAAGATGGACAATTGATATATAGGTTTAATGGAGAAGAGTAAATTGCTGGTAAAGGAATTGGGGTCAAATTTTGTTTTGGGCATCATTTAAAATGGGCATTAATCGGATACTTGTCCCCAAATTTCGTTTCTATTGAAATTAAGTCCAGATCACTTAGACTTCACTGTTTTTCAGAAATTTTAAGTATGAATTTTAAGGGTTGGCTTAGATTTTTTTCAAAAAGCAAATGTTCTTTGTGAGCTGGAGAGAAGGTATTCTTGAAGTGCTCTATTTGCAGCCACCTTCCAAAGACAACAGAGTGATAGCAGTAATGGATGTACTTGATTCTGCCACAATCAATGATATCACATCTTGTGAAGTTCAGGAGCCATTGTTTCTGAATTAGGCTTGCAGTGCTGTTTGATATTGGGCTTTCTATAGGCAACGTGCTGTACTTGTCACCTTACACTTCTCTATAAGCTGCTCAAAAGGGCAAGATTAACCTTGTTGCAACAAAAGATTTCTCAGTATACATTTTCAAAACCAAAAGGACACAATTAAGGGATTACAGGGCTATTATCCAATCTTGGGATTGAAGTGGCATGTGGGTTAAGGTATCTACTTTTGTATTATGTAATTTACTTTGGACTGTATCACTGTTCTATAATGTATCCATATTGGTAAAGCTGATACAACCAGCTTTAACAATATGGATAAGTGATAGAACAGCCCCCCGTCCCCCACCTCCTGAACTTCACAAGATGTGATATCATTGATTGTGGCAGAATCAAGTACATCCATTACTGCTATCACTCTGTTGTCTTTGGAAGGTGGCTGCAAATAGAGCACTTCAAGAATACCTTCTCTCCAGCTCACAAAGAACATTTGCTTTTTGAAAAAAATCTAAGCCAACCCTTAAAATTCATACTTAAAATTTCTGAAAAACAGTGAAGTCTAAGTGATCTGGACTTAATTATCTCTGCTTGTTTACCATATCCCTGTTTGAAATCTTCCTGACAATGTACAACACCATGCCATGGGCTTCACAAAGAGTTTATCAGACAGTCACTGAATTTAAATCCATCGTTTCACTGTCGGAGTCTGCTTTTTTTTAAAATCACATATTTTGGAATTAAAGGTTTAAAGAAACCTATAAATACTTTGGGGTTCTGGTACTTTGGGGTTATTTTAGATAATGTTTCCCAAGCAAGCTATCCTTTGCAGTACTCAATGTGCACAATATAATAAAGTGAGCCTGTTCCTGTGTATTATATGTTTTCAGAATCCACCTGGAATTATGAGTGTCCTGGATGATGTCTGTGCCACTATGCATGCCACAGGAGAAGGAGCAGATTCAACTCTGCTACAAAAGCTCCAGGCTGCCGTAGGAGGTCATGAACATTTTAATAGCTGGAATCAAGGATTTATAATACATCACTATGCTGGAAAGGTACTGTACCATCCTGCACACATCCTGCTACAAAACAACTGTCATTGCTGTATAGACTTTCCAGCAACATCCATGTCTGAGGATTCAGTTGGATCTTCAGTTATAGTAACAGCTTCCTCCCTGCTGTTATCAGATTTATGAACAGACCTCTCATATATTACAGTTAATTTTTCCCTGCACACTCTCTGTAGCTGTAACACTATATTCTGCATTCTGTTCTTTTACCCTGGTTTAGTAATGTAAGGTATGATTTGTCTGGTTGGCACACAAAACAATACTTTTCACTGTATCTCAGTACGTGATGATAATAAATCAAATCATATCAACCATTTGCAAGTTCCTTTACCAGCATTTGTCATCATAACAGCAGCAGATAGCAACCTCTTGGCTTGTAGTTTTTCCTTCAAAAGTAGACAACTTCACATTTGCCGATATTAAAATCCATTTTATGCAAAACATGTTTTTTAATCTGTAAATACTACTCGAAACTTTTGCTTCCATCTTACATTGGCACTATGTCATCGTCAAATTTGAAGACATGTACCTGTAACCTGCCATCTCGATCTTGGTAAACAATGAATGATGGAGCAATCAACCACAAGTTACATGAAGCCAATTAGAGAATCTGCCCTTTATCTGTACTCTCTGTCTCATGTTGATCAGTCAATCTCCTACTAGGTCAATAACTTGTCCTCGAACTTCAACTTTAACTAACAGCCTCTTGTCAGGGACTCCATTGAATTTCTTCTTGAAGTCCATTCAAATTACATCAAAAGACATTCCTCTATCTACTACATCAGTCGGGGTTTTCAATAACTTCAGTCAGGGTCATCAAGCATTACTGATCCTTTAAAAATCCACAGTGGCACTTTCTGATCAGCTGAAAATTTCCACTTCCTCCTTAGTTATTGACTCTGGTAATTTTCTGACAACAGACAGACGTTAGGCAAACTCGTTTGTAAGTCCATAGTTTCTCTCTAAAATTTCTTAAAGAGCAGAGAGACTTGTACAATTTTCAAATTTAATAAAACAGTTGCTGAAGGGAGAGAACTTTGGAAGATAATAGGTAAGGCATCTGCAAGGTCGCAAGTGGGGATGTTTGTTAATGATTGTACAATGTTCAGCACCATTCATCACTCATCAGATAGTGAAGCAAGCCATGTCCAAATGCAACAAGAACTAGACAATACCCAGGCTTGGGCTGACAACTGCCAAGTACCATTCACACCATACAAATGCCATGCAATGACCATCTCCCACAAGATAGATTACAATCATCACCCCTTCAATGGCACTATCATCACTGACTCCACCTCGGTCAAATCCTGGAGTTCCATTGACCAGAAACTAAACTGGACTTGTCATATAAATGCTGTGGCTGTAAGAGCACATCTAAGGCTAGGAAGACTGAAAGAAGTAACTTACCTCCTGACTCCCTGAAACCCTGTATACTGTCCACCATCTACAAGGCACAAGTCAGTGATGGAATACTCCCCATTTGCCTGGATGGGTGCAGCTCCAACAACACTCAAGAAACTTGACACGATTCAGAACAAAGCAGTTCACTTGATTAGCAGCACATCCACAAACATTCGCTGCATCCACTATCAATGCTCAGTAGCAGCCAAGTGTACTATCTACAAGATCCATGGCAGAAATTCACTAAGACTCCTCAGATAGCACCTTCCAAACCTACAGTCACTATCATCAAGAAGGACAAGGGCAGTGCATGGGAACACCACAACCTGCAAGTTCCCATCCATGTTGCTGGGAGTTTGACAGTCTTCAGTGCTGATTCAGTATTTGTTTGCTTAGGATGCCCGGCATGCCAGCCTCAATGGCCCACAGTCAATGCAGTGAGGGCACCTACTTTATGGTTTTGGAGCTTCCAACCACCTGACTGCAAATTGCACATCCACCTGTCATCCTGCCTCCACATTAAAAATAGAAGTGTAAGATTCCAAGGGCTGTTAAGTGTGTTTGGAAAATTACATTTAAGCTTCCCACCAGTTTTCCTTTGTTATCTGACAGGGAGGTTGGGATTTGTTTTTATTCATTCATGGGATGAGGGCATTACTGGCCAGGCCAGCATTTATTGCCCATTCCTAATTGCCAGAGGGCAGGGCAGTTAAGAGTCAACCACAATGCTGTGGGCCTGGAGTCACATGTAGGCCTGACCAGGTAAGGATGGCAGTTTCCTTCCCTAAAGGATATTAGTGAACCAGCTGGGTTTTTTTCCCCCAACAATTGACCCATCGTCCTCATTATTCCAGGTTTTGTTTTCATTGAATTCAAATTCCACCATCTGCTGTGGCAGGATTTGAACCCAGGTTCCCAGAACATTATCTCTGGATTAACAGTCCAGCGATAATACCACTAAGCCATGGCCGTGACTCTGAAAATGTCAGGATCTGAGTATGAAATGTATTTGATAGTGTCAGTTTTTCCGAAATTGGCAAAGCCACAAAGTAAAGATACAAAGGGAACACCCTTTTAAAAAACATTAAGCCTTATGAAGCCTAAAGATTTAATGTAAGAAACAAGAAATACTATGACAAAGAGAAACCTATCGTTTCATTCAGCATATCTATATTTGAGTTTTATTTGAAATATTCCACTGCAGGTATCGTATGATGTGAATGGATTTTGTGAACGCAACAGAGATGTTCTCTTCACCGATTTGATAGAGCTAATGCAAACCAGTGAATAGTAGGTCCTCGAATTTTTATCTCATATTATAACAAATATGGTCATCATTTCAATCAACTTGAAAACTGTAGCATTTGGGTTTCTGTCGTATATACCAAGAACTTTATAACAGTGTTCTAAGATTGAGGCAGATAAAAGTCTGGCAATATAAAATCGTAGTCACTGCTCTGCCCACAATAGATGAGAAAACACTGCTGACAATACAGTTAGACTAACACTTCCCACATTAGCATGTATTTAAGATTCGATGGTTTTTAAGACGTGTTAGGAATTCTGAATTTAAATACATTAGCACCTGATATGTGGGACTGATTAGTTCATTTGGCCAGTGGTTAGGTCAAACTAATGTAATCATGATGTTGAGATGCCGGTTGTTGGCCTGGGGTGGGCAAAGTCAGAAGTCACACAACACCAGTTTATAGTCCGAGATGGTAAGAACTGCCGATGCTAGAATCAGAGATAACACAGTGTGGAGCTGGAGGAACACAGCAGGCCAGGATATAGTCCAACAGGTTCATTTCAAATCACAAGCTTTCGGGGTGCTGCTCATTCATCAGGTAAAGTCTAACTTCACCCAATAAAGGAGCAGTGCTTCAAAAGCTTGTGATCTCAAATAAATCTATTGGACTATAACCTGGTGTATGTGACTTCTGAAATCAGTGTAAAGATACAGGTTTCAATCATTGTTTCAATGTATGCAACCTTAACCAGGTTTCAGACCCTGCATCCTCACCCTACCCTGTAACAAAAACATCATAGGTTAGCAAATAATCACCAAGAATCTGTTGCTTTAGGCAAAGAATTGACAAAGGATAGTTGATGTTCCACAATAAAGTTAAGCATTCATTCATTTATCTCACTAACGTACATAGCCATGTGGCCAAAATATTTTTCGAAGTTTTGTTTGTATGATATTTCTAGAGAAATGATTCACATAATTTAAAACAACATGTTCATGACATTTTGAGGAATATAAACCTTTAGGAAAAATTTGCATTATCAGTACATAATCCAAGCAATTCTTCTTATCACATTCTTAAAACGAGTTCAAATTGTGAACTTGTTGTACTTTATTTGACTGAAGATATTTTACTCTGATTGAAAAATGTTTGTGCACAGAGACAACAGAAATGCTGGAATATCCAGTTTATCATGTGCATTATCCCAGAAAATCAGCGTCCAATAATGAATTCTGAAGCTTTTGCTTCCATAATAATTTTGCCTAAGATCCTGCAATTCCCCTATGTGTGTGTTCTTGTTGTTTCAAAACAAGTCAGTTTTTATCTAGTGAGCAACTGTAGCTATCAATGCAGACTCTAGACCAGGACGGTACAATCAATCCACTGGAGCACTAATGTGATTTTACGGCTTTCAACCCATCATTTCGCCAAAGCATAAATTCACTTTATGGCTTTGTACTAAACCCAAGAGCATTTTTTGGTCTGAGTCATCTCAACTGCAATTCATTTCTGCAGCAAAATGATTTCAAAGTACCTATTGAAAATGTGTGTGGTCAAAATAAGATCAATAGAATTTTAACGATACAAAACGTTAGTCCACATCTTTTGGGTTTATTTCAATCCTACCACTGTCTCCTTCCTTTAAAAATGTCTTTCCTAAGAAACATATCAGTGAAAAACATTTGATTTCACATGGTCAAAAACTTCACAAGTTTTTATTCAGACACACATGAAGAACGGTACTCGGTGAAGGTACCAGAATGCTGCTGGTACATATTGAACCAAAACCCAGCACGAATCAGAAAAGTAAGGCCAGAAAGAAAATTTTGACAGGATTCTGTCAATGTGTGAGAAGAGGGATTGTTGGGACTACAACTCTCTAGGGATTACAGATAACACGAATAATTCAATTTTGAGCAATTAATCTCTACTGTAGCTCAAACACATTTAGTTGAGAAAATTCTAAAACAATTTCAAATGGTGCTGGAAAGAATTTCATTGGTTTGTCAATGGAAATTTTTTTGTTTCATAGGCTCAATAGTTTTCCCTATTGTGCAATATGTTAGTTTTCATCTTTATCCATAAGTAATGTTGCAACAGAATGGAACAAAATCCTTGGGGGCGAAAGAGAAGTGAAGAGAAATGCAACTGTAATGAGACAGTCTGCAGAGACAGGAAATGTAAAAAAAAATGTTCACAGAGCACCTTTTGCAACCCCAGAACATACCAAGCACTTTATAACCAATTAAGTACTTTGCAAATGTAGGAAACATGACGGTCAGTCTGCATACAGCAAATTCTCACAAAAAGCAATGTGATAAGGCCCAGATAATCTGTTTCAGTCACACTTAGTTGAGAAATAAATGTTGGCCAGGACACAACAATTTGCATTTATAAAGTCACGGCTCCCATTTTGTTGGGTGATACCATTTGATGATCAGTCTGCTATTGCCATCTACAACACCTCTAAGACCCATCTTTTGATTCCTTCCTTTGTATTACCACACACTTTGCCTTGTGCTGTCATCCCCTTTTTTAAAATCGCTTTTGTTTTCCACCAAGTCAGAGACATTTTGTTTTCCCCCCACCCACCCCTTTCCCGAGCTGCGCACTTAGTTCAAAATATTTAAATTACTTGACAAAAGCTTGTAAGATAAAAATGTTGGCCTTCATTTTATCTTTGTAACATCTCAACGTCTTTGTAATTGTAGCACAATGAGTCGCTGTATTTGGAGTAGAAAGAAAGAAAACTGGAAGACAGAATAAGTTAATTTTCTGCCAATGCAGGGTTTCATATGCTGACTACATCTGTTACTCTTGTGTGAAAAGAAAATTGGATAGTTTCAATAACTGCACAAACTGGGTTTAACTTAACTCGTGGTAAAATGGGGGAATATTTCTTTACTGATCTGATCTTTTTCCAGCCCCTTCATTCAAATGCTGTTTCCAGAAAATCTACAAAATGAGAAGAAAGGCAGGCCAACCACTGCAAGCATGAAGATTAAGGTGCAGTCAAAATTCTCCATTTGCAAATGTTAAGAGTCAATGATGTTTTATATACATGTGGACTTAGTAGAGAGTTTACCAAGGCTGAAAATCACTATTGACATTGAGGGAGATTAAACCACTCTCTTGGACACTGTAATAACATTATTTCCTGATGCTTCTGATAGCATTATATCTAATATTCATGATCCTTTATTCTGAAGAAAGGTCCCAAACCGAAACATCAACTTTCCTGCTCCTCTGATGCTGCCAGACCTGCTGTGTTCCTCCAGCTCTGTGTTGTCTCTTCTTTATGCCTTGAGTCAGTTTTCTATATTAGTAACTTATCTGAGAAGTATTTTATCTGTTTTGAAGTGCTACCGGAAGTCCTACAGACATGAAGAAATGTATGAGGGTGTTGGTATTTTAAATTCCCTTTGTCAGGTTTAGAAGCAATGGACTACAATTCCCAGCATGCCAGGAGTTCAAGGGAAACATTGGGCACAGGAGAGAAACATGTCACACTTCCTCTGTTTTCAGGGTCCTTTTAACAGCTGCTAAAAGACACCACCAGAGGCAGCAATGAGCAGTATGATGTCCAGTGCAAGAACCTGACCAGAGCACCTGCAGATATGACCTGAAAAATTGGTCAGGTGACCAGGCACCAAGCAAGTACCCCTGGTCCATTAGATTGATCCAGGCAAAAGAACACTAGTAAGCTGCAGGAGAAGTGGAAGCACTAGGCTGTAGGCCATATATTGGCTCAATGTGATGGAGGAGCAGTTTCAACTTGGTGAAGTGAAGTGGGTGACAAGTTTGTAAGCTGGGAATTGGAGCACAGAAAAGCAAGTAAGCAGTGGTTATCCAGTCAGTGCCACTGGAGTGTAGGGATGTGAATCACGGCTTAGAGTATTCCCTGCGCAACACAGTGGGATGCAGAGTTAGAAGGATATCAGCACAACTGGCAAAAAAAAACCCAAAAGGAATGGATCTGGAAGCAAATCTGAGGGAGATGTGCAACAGTGCACATTCTGGCGAGGATTGTACTTGTGGAACTCAGGTGGAGGAAAGCTGCTATTGGCTGGGGACAAACTAACTCCTAGAAGTAATGGAGCCGAAATTCCTCATGAAGAAGACAGAGTTTGTGGAGAATTTGGCACCCATTGTGATCCACAAAATCTGATTGGACCAACACTAACAGACCAAAATGACATTCTGTCTATCACACAAATGCCAGATGTGGTAGATGAATTTCAGTGCTGCTGTAATGCTACATACATAAGCCATATGTTCCAAACACTAACAGATTGTATAAAACAGTATAATATTTTTGTTGTTTGCAACAGGCAGGATACTGACCGTACCCAACCAGGTTGCTCTTGCAAAGCTCACAACACATTGCCCAACATTAGATTCTACAACTGGACAACATTAGCTAGATAATCCTGAGTGTGCAACAAATTCTGCAACGAGCTCGCACTGTGTTGCATTTGCGTGTCCTGGAAGCACCATCTATTGATACACAAGGTCAGATACATAAACCATATGTTCTTGGCAGACAGAAAGAACACTTCTATGTATTGCCCTTGTCACAAGTCAACAAAATAAGGAACAGCCATTCACTAGGTCATTTCTCAGGATAATGTTCTCACCAGTCAGAATCAATCTGCCTGATTAAAAATTTAAACAAAGCCTGGTTAACTGTCATTTATCATTAATTGGTGCATTGGCAACAAATCAGCACTTTCTTTTCATGCAGTGTGAAAGTGGTTTTCCCCTTGAATTGATATTTCTGTAAATTATTTCTCATATAAATAAAACAAAAAGCTCAACAGAATGCTTTATATTCAGCAATGCTACCGTTTAACTCATTAACTTTGGATTACAGGATAGTATTTGCTGCTTGCTTTGTTGACTCTTGTACAGTTCTTTTTAAATTGTGGAATCTTGTGGCTTTGTTCCCTTAACAAATACGTAGGATTTCAAATTTCATCGACTTTAAATAAAAGATTACCAGGCCCTACTCAGGCTGTAACAATTGCAATATAAATGCAAGTTCATTGTTTCCCTATCTTATTAAGCCACCTAATGGTATAGATATTCCAACCCTCTGTAGCATTTCTTTGCTCTTTACAACATAACTCAGGATATTTTTCTACAGTATAGTTATTGCACTATTTATTTCTGTAATGCTAGACATTTTATTTCTCTATTGTCTAAGGTCTTGTAACTAAAAAAGCTGTGCCTAGGCACTTTTGTACCTCAGTCAGCACTGTAATTGGCAACATATAAACTTTTGACCATACTCATTGAGAATATGTGACTATAAAGGCTATTCTATTCTGAACATTATTCAGATCATTAGTGCCAGTGGAGATAATAGTAGAATAGCTGAACACCCTCATAGAGGTGCATGCTGCACTATCAGCCACTTCAGGCATAGTCCGTGTGAAATAATGTGTTGATAAAGTCACTTATGTAGGTATCCTCTGCATTCAGTGGAATCAGCTTAAATGATGCTTACGTGATGTCTTTAAGCCTTACCCATTGATCTGACTCTCAACTCCACAACTTGGGATCACAGGACCATTGATTAAATTTTTTTCCGTCTCACCAAAGGTCAAGCATTCAGCTGCAAGAGAAACCAAGCACAAACATTATACAAAGTGCAACACAACATTCAGACTTTTCTGAAACCAGAACAGCAGAATAGGTGACTTGGATGCAGAAGGAGATGAATTGGATCACAAGAGATCCATGGTAACAGGATGAGGATGTGTTCAGAATTGATGAAGGGCTTCAGGCCCTTCAATGTTTTGAACAACTGTGGGTGCCACAGGCTTGTGACAACCAGCATCATATGGCCAGAAAAGGTATCGTCCATCAGGGTCAAGAGGATCTTATATGGAATCCCTACAGTGTGGAAACAGGCCCTTCGGCCCAACAAGTCAACACCGACCCTTGCAGCATCCCACCCAGACCCATCCTCCTATAACCCACACACCCCTGAACACTATGGGCAATTTAGCATGGCCAATCCACCTAGCCTGCACATCTTTGGACTGTGGGAGGAAACCAGAGCACCCGGAGGAAACCCACACAGACACGGGGAGAATGTGCAAACTCCACACAGACAGTCACCCGAGGCTAGAATCGAACCTGGCGCTGTGAGGCTGCAGTGCTAACCACTGAGCCACTGTGCCGCCGTGCAATCAAGTTGTCTCTTATTCTTTTAAAATACAGATGATAAAGTCTAATCTTTCCTCAGAAAGTAATCTGCCCATTCAAGGTATTGGTCTAGTGAATCTTATCTGAACTGCTTTCAATGTATTTACATCCTTCCTCAAATAAAAAGACCAATACAATGCACGGTGCTCCAGATATGGCTTCATCAATGGCCTGCATAACTGAAGAATAACCTCCCTATTTTAGTGTTCAATTCTCCCTGCAATAAATAATTATATTCTATTAGCTGTCCTAATTATTTACCGTACCTATATATTAACCCTTTATGATTCATGCAGTAGGTCACCTCGATCGCTCTGCATCTCAGAGCTTTGCAGGCTCTCACTACTTGGATAACATGTTTGTTTGTTCAGTCTTCTTGCCAAAATGGATAATTTCACATTTCCCCACATTACACTCCAATTGCTGATCTTTGCCCACTCATTTCACCTATCTATATTCTTTGTAACTTCTTACATCCTCTTCACAACTTATTTTCTTAAGTAACTGCAGGCCTGTGATCAGTGGTGTGCCTCAGGTGCTGGGTCCATTGCTTTTCATCATATACATAAATAATTTGGATGTGAATATAAGAGACTAGCAAGTTTGCAGATGACACCGAAATAGGTAGTGTAGTGCACAGTGAAGAAGATTATCACAGAGTACAACAGGACATTGATCAGATGAGCCAAAGGGCTGAGGAGTGGCAAATGGAGTTTAATTTAGATAAATATGACACAAAAATGCAAACAGAGCAGAAGTTATACAGTTAATGGTAGGGCACTGGGGAGTGTTGTTGAACAAAGACACTTAAAGGTGCAATTGCATAGTTCCTTGAAAGCGTAGTCACAGGTAGACAAGGCAGTGAAGAAGGCATTTGGAACACTGGCCTTCATTGGTCAGAACATTGAGTATAGGAGTTGGAGGGTCATGTTGCAGCTGTACAGGATATTAGTGAGGCTACCTTTGGAGTACAAATCTGGTGTCCCTTCTATAGGAAGGATGTTGTTAAACTTCAGATGGCGCAGAAAAGGTTTACACGGATGCTGTTGGGACTGGAGGACTTGAGTTATAGGGAGAGACTAGATAAATTGGGGCTTTTGTCCCTGAAGCATTGGAGGCTGAGGGGTGACCTTATAGAGGTTTATTAAATCGTGAGGGACATTGATAGGTTGAATAGCCATGGTCTTTCCTCAGGATAGGGGAGTCCAAAACTAGAAGGCATAGGTTTAAGGTGAGAGGGGAAGGATTTAAAAAGGACCTGAGATGTAACTTTTTCACGCAGTGGATTATGCATATATGGAACAAGCTGCCAGAAGAAGTGGTGGAGGCAGGTACAATTACAACATTTAAAAGATATCTGGATGGGTATATGAAAAGGAAGGGTTTGGAGAGATGTGGACCAAGTGCCGGTAAATGGGTCCAGGTCAGATTGGGATGTCTATGGATTAATTGGACCAAAGTGCCTGTTTCTATGCTATATGAATTTCTGACTCTCTGACTTGTGTCAACAGCAAATTTAGTAACCATACCTTCAGTCGTTTATATAAATTGGAAACAGTTGAGGCCCAGCATTGATCCCTATGGCACACTATACGTTGCATTTTGCCAACCTGAAAATTACCCATTTATGTCAACTCTTTGTTTCCTGATAGTTATCCCCGTGAGTTTTTATTTTCCACAATAATGATGCGGTGCTTCCTCAATGCCTTCTAGAAATCCAAATATATTACATCAACTGGATGTACCTTTTATCCTCAGCACATTGCTTCCTCAAAAAAGTACAATAAGTTGATTAAACATGATTCAATTTCACAAAACCATGTTGGTTCAGCCTGATTACCTTGGGCTTCTCTAAATGTCCTGCTTTAATGCCTTCAATAAGGCTTCAAACATCTTCTCAATGACAGACAGGTCTGTACTTTGATGCTTCATGTCTCCCTCCCTTTTTCAATAAAGGGGTTGCATTCACAATTTCCCATTCTAATGGAACCTTTCCAAATCTAGGGAATTTTGTAAAATTATAACCAATCCATCAACTAGCTCATTAGTCACTTCTTTTCAGACCTAAGGATGGACTCCATTAGGACCCAGGACTCATCAGCCCACAGCTCCAACAATTTGTTCAGTGACACTTTTCTAGTGATTGTAATTTTCTTGAGTTACTTCCTCTCTTCCATTTCCTGATTACTTGCTACTTGCAGCCTCTATATCAGATACCCATGCAAAATACCTGCTCAGTTCATCAGCCATTTCCTTATTTTCCATTATTAATTCCATAGAATATCTTTCTAGAGAATTAATGCTCACTTTGTTAATTTTTTGGTTTATTTTTATGGCTAGTTTTCTTTCATATGTTTTTTCCCCTCTTTGTTAAGCTTTTAATCAATCTTTGTTTATTTTTAAATATATTCTGTTCATCTTCTGACTTGAGCTTTGTGCAATTACATATTTTTATCTTACATTTGATATGTTTTTAACTTTATTTCATTAACCACAGGTGGCAGGCCCTCTGCTTTGTGTTTTCTTTCTCATTAAAATGTATCTAATCTGTGTATTCTGAAATATCCCCATAAATCACACTACTGCATCGCTACTGACATTTTTTTTTCCAAATCAACCTATTCAGAGATATTGTTACACACCTGTGGAGCAGGTGGGATTTGAACGTGGGCCTCTTGCTCTAGGGGTAGGGACATCACCATTGCGCTACAAGGGGGTCCTTGGAGATACTGCAATACCAGGTCAATGCATAGAGTGGATAGAGCAAGTCCCTAGTCCATCTCCCTGCTCCAAAAATCAATTGAATACGTGGTCCCCAGAATCTAAACGTGATCTGAGCCAAAAGGCTTACATTAGTCTAATTTACCTAGCCGTGCTTTCATGCCCTCATATTTGCCCTTCTTTAAGTTTAGAATATTCATCTTAGATTGGTGAGCACTGAATAAATGTCATACAACTGCAGTGATAAATAAGCAGCCTCATTAATTATCATTTCTTATTGCCTTAATGTTAGTGACATGTTTCAGGAAGCTTAGGAAACCGAAGCATGCAGCATTATGTTTGAATGCCAGTTACAATGTTACTGCAATCTAATGATTAAATATCTAAATTGTCAACCTGCCTTTCTGGAGATGTTACAGCCTCTGAAGCCAGCCAAAAATGCCCAACATAAACCCAGGAATCAGTGTGTTGGAGCTGGTTTCAAAGTGCATTGACACATTTGCTGACTGTAAGCTCCCACTCCCCACCCCAGTCTTACTAGTCTTACACATACCTCAGTGTTGAACTTTCCCTCATTAATTCTGTGAACCAAGTTGATTTTTGCGCCTTTTATGTACTGATTAAGTAACGAAATTTTTCTCACATATCTGATCCAAAGGAAAGATGCACCTGAGTAAACTTGAACGATAATGACGTGCTAACTAAAGTTACATATAATTTAATCAAACATGTACACTTCACCTGCTCCTGGAGCGGTATACTGGTTTTGTGATTCTGGTTCGCCCCTCAGCATCTGCAAAGATTGATCTGTCATGTAAGCACCTATATGAAGCTGCCTGGTTTGTCTCATGACTGGCTCAGTATGGGGAATATCAAAATGTAGAAAAGAATCCCATTTATTTTATCATTTAAAAGAAATTTGCTTTTCTTTCACATGGAATCCAAAATTTAATTCATCATGGGCATTCTTCAAATTTATTAACATGTGTTTGTATCATTCCTGTGATTTAGAAACAAGCAAACGACCTGGTAAGCAAGTTAATGAAGTGTACTCCACATTACATTCGCTGCATAAAACCAAATGAGACTAAGAGACCCAGAGATTGGGAGGAGAGCAGGTAAGTTTTCCTTGGTCTTCTATGACCTGTTATTAAGAACAACTTTATTGTCTTGAAATCATTTTAGAATGCTTTCCCTTTAATACAAAGCTTTGAAGTATTTAAGACACCTTCATTCCTAAAACTCATCCGGAACAGAAATGGGAATTTGCAGGGAATCCTGACATTTTGCTGCAAAAATGATGAATCAATTCAGTCCAAGCTACTGGGTTGACTCCCTATATCCTGTGAAAAAGTTAAACAAGTTTACCCAGTTGTAAAATCAGGGCAAGAAGGGGAACGTCCCATATCTTGGGAATAAATGTTCAAAACTCACACAGCAGCAGGCTAATTAAATAAACGTTTGTCGTGACTTGGAGACGAGGGGTGAATCGCCTTTCTCTCTTTTAACCTCCTTGTTCAACCATAACAAAGAGTTTTTTTTTAAACCATGAAGTTGTATCAAATTTTGTACCAATTTAGTTTAAAGAACCTCCAGTACATGAACAAACACAGCCCTCTTGTAAGAAAAGGCAACAAACTGAAATTCTTATCCTCATATCCTTCTGGTTTGCTCTCTGAAACATGATGAAACTGACAGACTAAAGGAAAAATGCAGGATGTTCTGAAGACAATTGAAAGAGAGTTTCAATTTTGAAAAGTTTCCTACTATATTTAGGGTAAACATTTCGTATTTAGTGGCATTATTTCCACACTTGTTTCAACACGTGGTACAGAAAATGACATCTTGGGGGCTCTAATAGAAAATAAGATTGCACCATGATCAATAACCTCTGGCCCAGGATCTACAGGAAGTTCCTGCACAGTAATTTAGTCTGTAGACTTGCTTGATAATTCAGTCTTAGCACCAGTCATTTCAATGACAAGAACCTCAAATGAGAAGAACAGCTAATGTGGACATTTGTTCACACAGTTGCTGCATGCCTTGATTGTGCTGTGTGACAACTGACAGCTGGGCCCTTAGTTCAACAGTCTCTTTCAAGCAATTAGATTTCTCCAATTTTTGCTTAATTTTAATACATTCAAGCTCTATTTGCTGCTCAGCTTTAAGCTTTACTATGATATGTCTCAGTTTCAGAAACTTTGTCATTTAATCTTATACTGAAATAAACCTCCATGTTTCCATAGCTAGCTGATGAAAATCACTTGCAGATTTCAGCTAAGATTAACAATCTCTGAATGCTCCATGTTGGTTTGATCCAGTTTTCCCTGGATAACTTTTCATTTGGCTGCTTGCAATGATGTCATTGGTGGGCTGACTGGAATGAAAGATATACCCATTTTTTTTGTCACCTTTCCCAACAAAGGGATGTGAATCTTCAAAAAAGACGACAAAGCCTTCATCATCATTGGAACAACATGAGTGGCAAGATCCATGACCTCTTCATCCAGCAGAGCATCTGCTTCTGCTGCAATATGGCTGTCTTCCACTCTTTCCTGAAACAGTAAATTAAGATTTAGAGCTTTATTTTGCAGTTGGTTACCGTCATCCTTGGTGCGTCCTGAGCCTGCTTCTTCGTATTTGTCTACCAAAGAGAAATGAAAAATCTGCAGTATCTTCCTGTAATCCAAGAGATGGTGTTTCTTTAGTAAAGGCTGGCTCCCTGTGTATTGAGTCAACATCAATTTCTGCTGCAACTGTGGAATGATAAAGAAATTAAAAACTATCCAAGCATCTCTGTTTAATAAACAAAAACACTGATTGGGAACAATTCACAGAATATCAATAATCTGTCTCCCATTGCAGTAAAGGATAGCCTATGTCTGGCCTTATGCTTTTATTACAATTCTTCCAAAATCATGACGTTTAACTGAAGCCAGTTGGAAATTGAGAAGTCAACCATGGGGGTGGAATTTGAAAGAATGATACAACTGACCATATATTAGTTTTCTTGATTTTAACTCTGATATTTACCCACCAGAAATCATCCAGTGTGTCTACTACTTCCCCAAGAAAAATGTACTCTGAAGCTTGGTAGCATCTATGTTTTAGACATTTACCGACTATAGCGGTCAGTTTATAAATTTTTAGGCTGCCAGTTGAAATCTCGGTGACAAACTTCCTGAAAATGGCCTTTCCTACAGCATGCATGGCACTCAGCATTTAGTGGCTGGGTAGGCTTGGCGCAGATATGGTGATTTCCTGCCATGAACAAGAAACAATGGCACGAGCAGTACCCTCTGCTCAGTATTGCTGCTTTCTTGCTTGTGCATTGGCAGCCTTCTGATGAACAACTTGTACTGAGTTGTAGTCAGTACATTGGCCTGGTCTTTATCTGGCTTTTTACTGAGGCTTAAAGCAGCGCAGTATCTGCTAAACCATCAGCACCAGTTTATCCAACACATGACCTGACCACGGCCCTTCCTGTAAAGGGAACAGCTGTAGACCATTTAGCCCATTGAGCCTGCTGTGTTATTTACTACAATCACGGCTGATTGAAGACTTTTGTGTGCTTTATTCATCCCATCCCTATAATCCTGTATGTCACCGTAATCAGAAATCTAGATGTTTTGGTAAAAGCAAGGCATATTTCATCATTGAAGTGTTTTCTTTGTGGGTTGTGGCTCCCGAATTCTATTTTTTTGCTGGTGTTTTCCCAACCATTTTTAGAATTGTGGGAGTTTCCATTCTTGTGCAGCTTCCCCACTCTGTAAAGACTTCTGTTGTACTTCAATATTTTACTCACTGAGGCCGACTGATTTTACTTGATGCTTGCCATGTTCCTGGCTGTGGGATTTTCTCACACATTGACAGCATTGTGCAGGGCTTTTCGAGGTAGACCTTGAATCCCTTCACCTGCAGCACTGTTACTGCCACTGGAGCAGTCTTCAGGGTTTTCCCCATTCTTGCTCAGATATTGGGCTGACAATGTACTGCAACTGACCTTCCCTTCATGTGCACTTTTCCACTTGTCTCCAAGGATGATGTGAGAGGTACGTATGCATCACCATGCTATAGCTCCTCATGCACATGTTCAGTAACTATTCTTAAATGAAATGTATAGTTATCCCTTTACTCAATGTGAAGCAGTAATTCATTATCGCAGCAAAACATATTGAGGGTTCAAATCCATGCCTGTCTTGTCCAATAACCAAATTGTGATTAGTCTTCTTAAGATTAAGCTCAACCAGCCTGATTCCTGCAAATGTATACCTGCTAACTGAAGATGGAAACTAAATCAATCTGCTGTGACAGACTCTATAATGTCAAACTGAGGCTGAGAAGGTTCTCCAAGAAGATCAAACTAAAGAAGGACCTGTCACTAGGTGCTCACTTGTTTAACCTGGAAACCAATATCCTTTCAGGAAAATTGTTTTCATATGGTCAAGTTTTGGAAATTTACCAGTGCTCTGCGCTGATATTCTGCACAGTTTATACCAAGTGACCTCCATCTATATCTATTTGGGTGTCCTTGGCCCTCCCCAGTTAGCTAGGTTACCTGGGCTTGGGTAAGTGGGCTGTATACATATGAAGATGTCAACAGATACGCTCTTTATGTGGATTTCTCAGTAAGCTAGTTTGAATCTTTAATGGATTGTCGAGATGTATGACTCCCCCTTTTGACCAAAATAAAATAAATTTTCCTTCTTTTACTGAGGCGGTAGTACAATCTCCATTTATCTTAATCTCCATGTATCTTAATCTTTCAGAGTGAAGCATCAAGTTGAATATCTGGGACTGAAAGAAAATATCCGAGTCCGCCGAGCAGGGTTCGCTTACAGGAGAGCTTTCCCAAAATTCATACAGAGGTACCTTCTCCACTATTAGTGGGTGTTAATGTGAATGAGTCACTCTATAAAATAGAGCTAAAAATGAGTTGTGGTTTTGATGATAAGGGTATAGATGCTGTAGGAAGGAACAGAAAGGGGGCAAGAGAGGAGGGGGAGTGGTGTTTTTGATTAGGGATAACATTACGGCTGTATTATTGAGGGAGGATATTCTTGGGAATAGATCCAGTGAAGTTATTTGAATGGAACTGAGAAATAAGAAAGGGATGACCACCTTTTTGGGATTGTACTATAGATTCCCCGACAATCAGCTGGAAATTGAGAAACAAATTTGTAAGATCTCAGTTATCTGCAAAAATAATAGGGTGGTTATGGTAGGGGATTTTAACTTTCCAAACATAGACTTAAGGGCTTAGATGGACAGAAATTTATTAAGTGTGCAGAACAAAATTTTCTGATTCACTATGTGGATGTACGTTCTAGAGAAGGTGCAAAACTTGATCTACTCTTGGGGAATAAGGCAGGGCAGGTGACTGAGGTGCCAGTGGGGGAGCACTTTGGGAAAAGTGACCATAATTCCATTAGTATTAAAATAGTGATGGAAAAGGATAGACCGGATCTAAAAGTTGAAGTTCTGAATTGGAGAAAGGCCAATTTTGACAGTATTAGGCAAAAACTTTCAAAAGTTGATTGGGGGGGGCGAATGTTTGCAAGTAAAGGGATGGCTGGAAAATGGGAAGCCTTCAAAAATGAGACAACAAGAATCCAGAGACTATATGTTCCTGTTAGGGTGAAGGGCAAGGCTGGTAGGTGTCAGGAATGCTGGATGACTAGAGAAATTGAGGTTTTGGTCAAGAATGAGGAGGAAGCATATGTCAGGTATAGACAGCAGAAATCAAGTAATTCCCTAGAAGAGTATAAAGGCAGTAGGAGTATACTTAAGAGGGAAATCAGGAGGGCAAAAAGGGGACATGAGATAACTTTGGCAAATAGGATTAGGGAGATTCTACAAATACATTAAAGACAAAAGAGTAACTAGGGAGAGAATTGGGCCTCTTAAAGATCACCTATGTGTCGCACCACAGGAGATGGGAGAGATACTAAATGAGTATTTTGCATCAGTCTTTACTGTGGAGAAGGATATGGAAGATAGAGAACATGGGGAAATAAATAGCTATGTCTATATTACAGAGGAGGAGGTGCTGGCCGTCTTAAAATGCATAAAGATGGATAAATCCCTGGGATCTGATCACGTGTATCCTAGATCTCTGTGGGAAGCTAGGGATGTGATTGCTGGGCCCTTGCTGAAATATTTGTATCATCGATAGCCGCAGGAAAGGTGCTAGAAGACTGGAGGTTGGGTAACATGGTGGCACTATTTAAGAAAGGTGGTAAGGAAAAGCCAGGGAACTATAGACCAGCGAACCTGGCATTGGTGCTGGGCAAGTTGTTGGAGGGAATCCTGAGAAACAGGATTTACATGTATTTGGAAAGGCAAGGACTACTTAAGGATAGTCAACATGGCATTGTACATAGGAAATCGTCTCTCATGAACTTGATTAAGTTATTTGAAGAAGTAACAAAGAGGATTGATGACGGCAGAGCTGTGGACATGATCTGTATGGACTTCAGTAAGGCGTTCAACAAGGTTCCTCATGGTAGACTGGCTAGCAAGGTTAGATCACACAGAATAGAGGGAAACTGGTCGCCCTGCTAATAGGAAGGATGTTGTGAAACTTGAGAGGGTTCAGAAAAGATTTATAAGGATGTTGCCAGGGTTGGAGGGTTTGAGCTATAGGGAGAGGCTGAATAGGCTGGGCCTATTTTCCCTGGAGTGTCGTAGGCTGAGACGTTATAGAGGTTTATAAAATCATGAGGGGCATGGATAGGGTCAATAGGCAAGGTCTTTTCCTAGAGGGTATAGGTTTAAGGTGAGAGGGGAAAGATATAAAAGGAACCTAAAGAGCAACTTTTTCATGCAGAGGGTGGTGCGTGTATGGAATGAGCTGCCAGAGGAAGTGGTGGAGGCTGGTACAATTACAACATTTAAAAGGCATCTGAATGAGTATATGAATAGGAAGGCTTTAGAGGAATATGGGCGAAATGTTGGCAGATGGGACTAGATTTATTTAGGATATCTGGTCAGCATGGACGAATTATACCAAAGGGTCTGTTTCCATGCTGTATATCTCTATGACTCTGTAACTTTATCATTATTATTAAGGTTACCAAATCCAGTTAGGTGTTTTCCTCGTGATTTCATCACTTCCTGTTTCCAGCTGTCCCACTCATCTTGTGCAGCAAATAAACATAAGCTCTCAAAGTACACATTTTATGAAAGTCCCCACTTTCTGCTCCCTCTGCCCCCGTCCCCCTCACCTTTGATGGTTTGCATTGCCCATAAAGGACGTTTTTTTAAAATTCATTCACGGCTGAGGACATCACCGACTAGGCCAGCATTTATTGCCTTTTCCTAATTGCCCAGAGGGCAGATAAGAGTCAACTACGTTGCTGTGGGTCTGGAGTCAACTGTAGACAGACCAGGTAAAGATGACAGTTTCCTTCTCTGAAGGACTTTGTTGAACCAGATGGGTTTTCTAACAATTGACAATGGATTCATGGTCATCATTAGATTCTTAATTCCAAATAGTTATTAAATTCAAATTCCACCATCTGCTGTGGTGGAATTCAAACCCAGGTCCCCAGAACATTGCCTGGGTCTCTGGATTAACAGGGGAGCTTTGCTTGTAAATATTCAGTTGGCCTCATGGGTGTTTACTGGTGATGATCAGTAAGTTAAAAAAAAGTCAGTGATTTTGATCATGGGAAGGTTACTGAGTGATTTTGGTGATGGGAAGATCACTCAGTTGTGCGTGATACAACTTCTGGGTAGAGAGAAGAGAAATGAAAGTCCTTATGATTTATCTCCCATGATGCTCACAGCAGTTGAAACCACATGATGTGCGATCTGTCCAGCTGCAAAAGTCTGTGTGATTGCGAGTGTGACAGACTGAGGTTGTCCCTGATAGAGGGAAAGGCAGGGTAAGTTAACACCAGTTAGAATTTGGTGCTGAGACAGAGGGAACCTAAATCAAAAAGGACGGTAATGTAAGTAAGACATTTAAATCTAGAGGTAGTATGTGTGATTAGCGCAATGTTTACTTCTACAGAATTTGCAGAATCTAAACTTTTATCCCTGGGAAGATACAAGGTGATAATAAATTGTAACCTGTTCTCTGTAAACCATGTTATAGCTCCGCACAAAGTATTAATTCCAAGTTCAACATTTATGCAAGAGGCCTTTACGTACAGATCTTAACTTTGGCATAAAACAATTCAATAAATAAGTTAAATGATTTTGTGAAATACATTTTATTTGGTTTAAACCCTTATCTTCGACATGGGGGAAGAATGTTGCTCACCAAACATAAGTTCACTGACATAAAAGTAGAACATGGCACTGTCTGCTCTGTTAAATAGATGTATTTGTAGCGAAGAATCCATTGTGCCAACAAATTTATTCTCCAAAGGGTTTTAGTTACTGAGAAAAAAATGGTAGATGAACACCAACTAGTGGCTAGAGTCTGTAACTGCAAAGTGAGAAAAACAGTTGAGATTTTCTCTAAGTGTGGATTTAAGAATTTATAATAGAGTCATAGAGTCATACAACACGGAAACAGACCCTTCAGTCCAATTCATCCATGCCGATGAAGTTTCCTAAGCTAAATTTGTTCCACTTGCCTGCATTTGGCCCAAATCCCTTCAAAGCTTTCCTATTCACATACCCATTAAAATGTCTTTTAAATATTGTAACTGTACCGCATCTACCACTTCTTCTGGCAGTTCATTGCACTACCAACTACCCTCTTTATGAAAAGCTTATCCCTCAGGTCTCTTTTAAATCTTTCTCCTTAAAAATATGGTCCCTAGTTTTGAACACCCCACCCTCAGGAAAAGACCTTTGCTATTCACCTTATCCATGCCCCTCATGATTTTATTAACCTCTATAAGTTCACCCCTCAACCTTCTACACGCCAGTGAAAAAAGTTCCGGCCTATCCAGCCTCTCCTTATAACGCAAACTCTCCAGTCCCAGTAACATCCTGGTAAATATTTTCTCTGCCCTCTCCAATTTACAAATACCCTTCCTATAACAGAGCAACCAAAACTGTACACAATACTCTAAGAGTGGCTTCAACAACATCCTGTACAACCTCAGCATGGCTTCCCAATTCCTTTACTCCGTGGTCTGAGCAATGAAGACAAGCATGCTAATGCCTTCTTAACCACCCTGTCTACCTGTGATGCCACTTTCAAAGAATTATGTACCTGAACCCTAGGTCTCTCTGTTCAACAACACTACCCAGGAACGTAACATTAACTGTATAAGTCCTACTCTTGTCCATTTTACATTTATCCAAATTAAACTCCATCTGTCACTCCTCAGCCCATTGTCCCAGTTGATCAAAATCCCTTTGTAATCTCAGATAACCTTCATCACTGTCCACTATACCACCAGTTTCAGTGTTATCCACAATCTTAATAACCATGCATCCTAAATTATCATCCAAATTGTCTATATAAATGACAAACAACAGCGGACCCAGCATCAATCCCTGTATAACACCACTGGTCACAGGTCTCCAGCCAGAAAAACAACCCTCCACCACCACCCTCTGTCTCCTAATGTAAAGTCAAGTTTGCATCCAATTGGCAAGCTCACCCTGGATCCTATGTGATCTAACTTCACTAATCAGTCTACCAATTGAACAAGCTGACATGGAAACATGACCAAAAAGGTAACAAAAGAAAGGGTAAGTGCAAGTGAAAATAATATGTTCTATGAAGATAAAAGTGTATGTTTACATGCATCTTCTTGAAGGGCTAAAATATGTGCTGTCTGTTGTCCTTGTTAAAGGTATGCTATCCTTACACCAGAGACCTGGCCTTATTGGCGTGGCGATGAGCGCCAAGGGGCTCTGCATCTTCTTCATTCTGTCAATATTGATACTGACCAGTACCAAATGGGGAAAACCAAAGTATTTGTAAAGAATCCAGAATCGGTACGTTGCTGTTGTAGATTGCTTGCATGTTTTTCAATTAATAGTAAGAATTTGGAATCCAAAACTAGTTTTATTTATGGAACAACACCAAGTCAACTGCATGATTTAAAATTTCCCAATTCATACTAGGAAGGCTCCTTTACTAAAGTGCTGGCGAGTGGCCATTATGATTTGTTCAGCAGTGAATGTTTATGAATGGTTTGTGATATCAATGTTTGTTTCACATTTTATTCCTACCTGTTCTGCCAGTGGTTTTCTTCTTTAATTTAAGTTTATGCTGATCAAGTATTTTGAAATTACAGCTTTTCCTTTTGGAAGAAATGAGAGAACGGAAGTTTGATAAATTTGCAAGAACCATTCAAAAAGCATGGAGGAAATACATTGCACAAAGAAAGTATGAACAGATGAGAGAAGAAGGTAATACATTAATGGTCATCAGAAGAAGTATGTAAGATGTATATACAGATGGGAAACTGTCTGAAGTTGATGACTTGATCCAGTTAAATCTAGTGTAAAGGAGTTTTCAATTTATCATTATGATTAGTTTGTCCAGAGATCTTATAGAGGCTTATAAAATCATGAGGGGCATGGATAAGGAGAATAGACAAGGTCTTGTCCCCAGGGTAGGTCAGTCCAAAACTAGAGGACATAAGTTTAAGGTGAGAGGGGAAAGATTTAAAAGGGATGTAAGGGGCAGCGTTTTCATGCAGAGGGTGGTGCACAGATGGAATGGGCTGCCAGAGGAAGTGGTGGAGGCTGGTACAACTACAACATTTAAAAGGCATCTGGATGGGAACATGAATAGGAAGAGTTTAGAAGAATATAGACCAAATTCTGGCAAGTGGGACTAGATTAATTTAGAATATCTGGTTGGCATGGACGAGTTGAACCAAAGGGTCTGTTGCCGTGCTGTGCAGTTCTATGAGTCTATTTGCTGCAACCATTTAGGAAATTCACTGAAGGCCTCCAAAAGTAGTATCTAGAAATTTTCTTTTGATGGTTACGTCAACATGGAGACAGGAGGAGTTGGAACACTTGTCCTGCCTCCACAGTAATACTACAAACCCTTATTGGCCTGCACCTGACACCTTTCAATCACCTGCCTTCCCCATCTCGGGACTGAATTCAAAACAGCAACCATTGTGTTGGGTAAAAAAACCCTACATTCACTATTCAACCCCAGAAATGAGGTATCTTATTTCTTACTTTTCTTCTCACAGTAACTGAATATAAATTATATAAACTCGAGAGAAGCTATTAGTATTAATTCCTGCATAACCCCTTCAAATAAGGTGATATTTTTATGATTAATAGGAAGGATTCAGTGTCCCAAATTACATTTATTCATGAAACAACATGAAGCTTTTGTTGATAACTAAGTGACTAGTCGACTACATGATTTAACATTGCTCCATCCAGAGTAGGAAATTCATTTTTGTCTTGATTGGCATCTAATTCAAATTATATAGTTGAGCTACCTGAGTCCATTGATCTACTATTACCTCCTGTCTAAGTTATACATCCTTTCAGCACTCTTTTGTTTAAGGTGTAACGCTGACACTTTGTTCTCGATTTAACAACTCTGCTCATTCTGCCAACCTGCCTATAACCTCTTGACCCTTCACTCTTTCTCACACTTTGCTTTGACTTCTAATCCATTATCCTCAATGTTCTTTAAGATGATTTCTCCTGTATTTACAACTAATAATTGACAGAAATGGGAAAAAAAAGGAGGCCCAATCATTGGCTTGAGGTCCTTGTCTCTGCTTTTTGTAAAATTACCATAAATCCTAATTTAGGATGTTTACTGCAGCCTCCAGCATACTTTACAACTTCAAGGAACGAAGAAGGAACAGTATTAACCGAAACTTTGTTGGTGACTATCTTGGCATTGAAGACCGACCAGAGCTACGGCAATTTCTTGGGAAGCGGGAGAGGATAGACTTTGCAGACTCTGTCACCAAGTTTGACAGAAGATTTAAGGTAATGGTTGACAATTATATTTTCAAATAATGGAAAGGGGAACTAGTTATGTTCCATTTCTCTTTTGTTTAGTCATTTTCTCTAATTGTTTTACTTTACGTCTCCACCTTCCTGGGTCCAGATGTTCTCCATGCCAACTACCAAAGTTTTCTCAAAACTTTAGATGTGGTGTTGCCAAACTATATTTGGAAAATTGGTTTATGATAATGGAAATATCAAGTTTCAATTAAGCTTGCTATGGGATGGAATTAGTTTGGTATTTAACAACATTTTTTTAAAAAAAACCATGTGCTCTCAAGGAATTATATGGTTACTTGACATGGGTTATCTAAAAAATATCTCCAATATCACTCTTGGCACTTACGATGCAAGGTCCACTCATCAATGTGGTATTACTTTGCAATATTAAAACTGTGCACAGAGGCATTTTTTTTGTTTGTGCCTGGCAACTGCTCAAGGGAGATGTACTAAGAACATGAAATGATTATGCTGAGTCTTCTCTTACTTTTCATCACCACCAAAATCCTAGGAGTTGCCAGTTTCCAGAAACTGAAGTGGACCAGGGATATAAATACTCTGGCTACAACAACAGATCAGAGGCTGGGAATTTGAAGGCAAATAACTCACCTCCTGACTCTTCAAAGCTGGTTCAGCATTGAAAAGACACCAGTCAGAAATGTGAACGAATACTCTCCACTTGCCTGAGTGCAACTCCAGCAGTAATCAAAAAACTAAACACTATTCAAGACAAAGCAACACACTTGATTCTATCCCATTAAACATTGTTAGGAGTGTAAAGCATCTGCAAGATGCACGAGATGCACTTCAACAACTCATCAAGACTCCTTTGACAGCACCTTCCAAATCCATGGCTTCTGCCACCAAAAATAACAAGGATAGCAGATCCATAAGAATGCTGCAATCCGTGGGTTCTGCTCCAATTCACTCACCATTCAGATTTAGAACTATTTCTCTGCTCCTTCATTGTCATTGTGTCAAAATCCTCGAACTCCCTTCCTAAAACCACTGTGGGCGTTCCTACAGCAGTGATTCAAGAAGGCAGCTCACCAGCAGCTTTTGAAGGAAATTAAGGGTTGAGCAGGCTTTGCCAGCAATGTTCATATCCCTAGAACAGATGCTGTACACAGCAAAGATAAAATGTGTGCACCTTGAATGAGTATAAGGTAACTGTGTAAATGAGATGGAAAATTTGTGTTGGGTCTTCTGTTCATACTTTCCTGTTGGTTGGTTAAATGGACCGGGAGCCAGAAGGATCAGATCTTTTGGCCTGACTTTAATCCTGCTCAGATCAGAGGCTCTGGCTGCAGGGATTTCCTTCTATCGGGCTGGTAGGAGAAGTTCAACAGCTGAAAGCCTTCTGGTTCTTAGTTATATCAACACTACAGACTGGCATGTATTCTGCCAACATGTGTTTTTTCATTATGAATGTGATTAACAATGTGATAATGACTGGATAACCTGCACTTTATTTTGTAATGTTGACTGAGAGATAGTCAACAGCCATGGGAATAACTGGGAATAACTCATCTGCCCTTCTTCTAATTAATGGATTGGAATCTTGTACATTCACCTGAATAGACTGATGGTCCTCTGTTTAATGTCTCATCTGAAAGACGTCTGCTCTTCTGGGAAAGCAGCCATTAGAGCCTGAAACTGACACCAATATCCTTGTGCCTTCAGAGGCAACTGGACCTTTGTCCCCACTTAGAGGCACAAGATCCTGTCATGGGGCATTCCTGCACCTGATAATATATTGGGTAAATTGTAAATGATTTAATGACACAGGTGTACCTCATTTCAGGTCAGGTCAAGCACTCCGCTTCACCTGTATTCAGATACAGACAGGAGGAAAACTGCAGCTATATACAAGAGAATAAGATATGGAAAAACTGTCTAATTTCATAGTACATTCAGCTTGACATGTGTCTAGCATGGGATCTGGCAGATTTTGATTCTGATCATCTTGAAGAGTTTGTGATGTATCAGCTCAGTTTCCCATCCACAATTCCCATAGAATTGGAAGGGTACTGGAGAAGACTGTGATATGAATGACAGGAAATTCAGGTGGAGAAGCCTAAACCTAGTTGTCCTTCCTCCCACTTCCACGGCTATTGTGCCAGTCCCCACAATGGAAAATCTGAAAACCTTGCAGCACCGTGAAAGAAATATAAAGCAAATGAAATAGGTCTCCTTCCATTCTTTTGTCCTGACCTTTACAGTCCAGGATCAGGACATTCCTCAGCAGTAAGGGACAGGAATAATCCTAACCCTAACCTTCCTTGTCTAGATTTTGGTGACTGTAACAATTGTGGAGAGAAGATCTCTTCTTTCCCGTCTTTCTAATTGCCTTCTTCTCTTTAAGTGTTAAAGAGTTAACCAATAACTTATGCTGTAGCAGAGAAAAGAAAGAATCACAGAAATAGAATAATGCCAACAGATTAACGAATCTCATGTGACTGTGTTAAGCATTTACCTTCTAATACAATCAATAATCGTTCAGTTATTGTTGTCTAAAACTCTTTAATAATTTATGCAAACCCATAATGGTGCAGGTTATGAACTTTGAACAGTCAATTATATTCATGGAATCGCGGATGTGAATGCAATCTGAGTTATCACAATACTACAGTAAGACTTTGCAGACTGGCAACGAAAGAACAGCTTCGGAGGTGTTGTATCATTTGTACTAGCAGTGTACCTCCTGTATATTACATCCATTCATTTACTTATTGTATCAGCACAGTATTCACCATAGCATGTTTGTTGTTAAATAATGAGCCTGAAATCATATTCAATTTTTCAGGGTATAAAGCGTGACCTTATACTCTCCGCAAAGTACATTTATCTCATTGGTCGAGAAAAAGTTAAAAAGGGGCCTGAAAAGGGCCAAATCAAAGAGATCCTAAAGAGAAGAATTGAAATTCAGAACATTACTGCTGTTTCTATGAGGTACTGTACTAATGTTTGTGTGGTTACATATTTGCTTTCCTATTTTAGAAAATCTCTAAAACGTGTGGAAAGGCAACAGCCTAGTGTGTTATCACTGGACAGTTAATTCAGAGACCCAGGTAATTTTCTGGGGACCTGGGTTTGAATCATGCCACAGCAGATTCTGGAATTTGAATTCAATAAAAATCTGGAATTAAGACTCTAATGATGATCCTGAATCCATTGTCACTTATCGGAAATACCCATCTGTTTCATTAATGTCCTTTAGGGAAGGAAACTCTCATCCTTATCTGGTCTGGCCTACATGTGACTCCAGACCCACAGCTATGTGGTTGACTCTTAACTGTCCTCTGGGCAATTAGGGGATGAGCAATGAATACTGGCCTAGCCAGCAACACCCTCATCCTGTGAATGAATATAAAAAACCCCAGAAAGCGTATAGACCGTACATTCTGCGATGTATTGTCTCCAGGACAGGTCATAACTTAAGAATTAGAGGGCAGCATGGTGGCTCAGTGGTTGGCACTGCTGCCTGACAGTGCCAGGGACCTGGGTTGGTTTCCTGCCTTGGGAACTGTCTGCACATTTTCCCCATGTCTGTGTCAGTTTCGTCCCAAGGTCCAAAGGTGTGCAGGTTAGGTGGATTGGCCACGTTAAATTGCCCATTGTGTCCAGAGATGTGTAGGCTGGTTGGGTTAGCCATGGGAAATGCAGGGTTACAGGGATAGAGTAGGTCTGGGTGGGATACTCTTGGGGGGTCGGTGTGGACTCAATGGGCTGAATGGCCTGCTTCTACACTGTTGGGATACTATATATTAAAAAAAGTTACACTTGAATCTGTCAATACCCTGGCATTACCACTAACCAGAAACTGAATTGGATTAGCCATATAAACACTGTGGTTTAAAGATCAAATTAATGGCTAGGAATACTGAAGCCAGCAAATCACCTCCTGACTTCTCAAAGCCTGTCCACAATCAACATGGCAAAAGTCAGGCATGTGATGAACTTTCCTGAATGGGGGCAGCTCCAACAATACTCAAGTTTGACATTATCCAGGGCAAAGCAGTCCACTTGAATGGCAGTTCATCCACCACCTTCAATATTCACATCTTCTACACTGACATACAGTGGCAGTAGCCTGTACCATCTACAACATGCGCTACAGCAACTCACCATGACACGCCAACAGCACTTTTCAAACCCGTGATCACTACAACTGGGACCAACAATTGCAGCAGATGCATAATAATGCCATCTTCTGCAATTTCCATTCCAAAACACACACCCTTGGGACTATATTGCCATTCCTTCACTGTTGCTGGGGAAAAATCCTGAAATTGTGACACGCATTTCCTGTGCAGGACACAGAGGTCCTCTCATAGGCCCATGACAATGGACAGTGAGCCAATCGCTCTCCCACCATTGCACAGACTGTACAGCTTTAACTTCTCAATCAGGCTAACAATCCTTCTGTAGTTACTAAATCTGATTGCATTTTTATAGTTTGGTCTTGATTTCATACTGATCTTGGGTGACCAAATCAAACTGTGCGAAGAAAGCAAAGTTAACATTTCGAGCCAAGACCTGGAACTTTAACTCTGCTTTCTTCCCATAGCTGCTACCAGACTTACCAAGTTTCACCAGCAATTCCTGTTTTTGTTTCCGATCTCCAGCATCAACAGTTCTTTGTTTTATTTCTTGTAGCTTTAGGAATCTGGACATCTCAAAAATAAAAAAACTCTCAATTCATCCATTTTATTTGAATTCCTATTATTTATACGGCATGTTGACTGTCAATTTTAAATTCACTTTCAGATCTGCTATCACATGTACCTATGGAAAGGTGTGACAACTGCACCTTGGAGAGATTGCACACAAGATAATGACCATCTTGTGGTTTTATTTCAGCACCAGGCAAGATGATTTTGTTGTCCTGCATGAACCAGAGTATGATAGTCTCCTGGAGTCCATTTTTAAGACTGAATTTGTTAGTCTTCTGTGCAAACGAACTGAAGAGTTAACACATCAGAAATTACAGCTCAAATTCGCTGACTCGTAAGAAAACTCTTCCTTTATACTTCTTTAGTCTTGTGATAATAATGCAAATGACTGTGATGATAGATTGTGATATTATCTGCTTTGATAATGAATATCATACAATTCTTTCTAGACTTTTATTCTCACAGTATTTACTGCGTGTCCTCCACAATTTTATAGATGGACATAAAATTACAGCAGAGAAAAAGACCATTCAGCAGATCAATATGACGTTCTTTATGTCCCACAGGAACCTTCTCCTTCCTTACAAATAGCAAATATTAGGCAAATTAAAATATAAGTAACAAATAACTGCAGTTGTAACACTCATAAGACTACAATCAAATGGGCTATCAAAGTATTATTATAGTAACCAATGAATTTGATATTCCTGTCAGTACAATTAAAACAATGATATTTTTTAACAAAAGGAATTTTAAAACAGTAAATATAATCTTAGGGTTTCACTGCATCTAGACTATAAATCAGTCTGGTTTATTCTATGACTGGGTGAAATAGAATGTAAATTCTAAACTAGTCTGCAGAATTATTGGTCCTGCTATTAGCCTAATGTGGTCTCCAATTCAGGGTAGGCAATCCATAGATGAAAAGTTCACATCAACTCAGCAAGTCAGAATCTGCAATCTGAACAGATTGAAGCAATTTGGTTTCTGGGTTTTGAGTCTCCAAGCTGCACATTAACTGAAATGTGGATTCATGTGATGTGATGGGATCTGTATTTCGAAGGGACAATGTATGCGGATGGATGATTCATTTGGAATGATACATGGTCACAAGAGGAAGGATGCCACTTGGTCAGTTGTGGTCATGCTGGTTCTCATAGAATTCCTGGTAGACAAACTGGAAGCTGGAAGAATACAGCAAGTCAGGCAGCATCTGGAGGAAAGGAGAAGTCAAGTTTTAGAGTATTACCATTCTTCAGGAGCGTATCCTGAAGAAGGGCAATACCCAAAATGTTTCTTCCCTTCAGGTGCTCATCCAGTTTTTGTCTGAAAGCCCCAATTGTGTGTGCGGCATGATATTCTCAGCTAGTGAATTCTGTACCTTGAACACTCATTGTTCCAAAGTTTTTCTTTGTAATACCTTTGATTCTTTTTCCATTCACCTTTAAATCAGTGTCCTCTGATCCTTCTCCCAATGGTAACAGTTTGTCCCTATCTAGTTCATCTAATGTCCTCATGATTTTGAACATGACTATTGTGTTTCATCTTGATTTTTTCTTTTCTAAGGAGAACGCAGCTTCTCCAATCTATCTGCAAAACTGAAGACCCTTGCACCTGGAACCATTTGCATGAATCTTTTCTGCACTGTCTCTAAAGCCTACACATCCTTCCTAAAGTGTGGTGCCCAGAATTGGACACAATAGTTCAATTGAAGCTGAACTAGTGTATTATGAAGGTTCATCATAACTTCCTTTGTTTTTTACTGGCTTTGTTTATAAAGGCATGTAAATTCCTGCCCATTCACGTCCTCTGCACCCTTCAGATATACCTTCGTAAACACCAATTTTAAATTATTTTTTAACTTGGGTAGTAAACTGTGTATTCAATCAATGATGCAAAACTTAACATTTTAAATATTGATACTTTTAAGGAATGATTCAAGGTTATCTGCTGTTTTTAGTTATGGAGCTTCATGTTATTTTGCTTGCATTTAATAGCATACAATTCAAAATCAAGAAGGAAGGCTGGGGAGGTGGTGGTACTCGAAATCTGATATTCACCCGAGGCCAGGGGGACATGGTGGTGCTTAAACCTGCAGGGAAGACACTTAACATTAGCATTGGAGATGGATTACCCAAAAATTCAAGTAAGTGCTTCTGCATGATACCCTATGAAGTAGCATTGAATAGCTATTTGTTGTGTATGCTACAGTTTCCAAAAAGGATAAGTTGAGAGAAAGAGAGCTGTTTCCATGACTGGAACATGCTGCATTAGGCAACTAATAAATTGCTTGTATCAATCCTTTCAAATTCAGAGTCCTAAAGATATGGAGGTACAGCATACCAGTTAATCAGAGAATGCCAAATATGTTTTAATATTTATGTTTATGTCATGAATATTCACCCTTCATAGAACATAAAATATCAAATTTTTCATGTATAGTTAGCCCCTCAGTGGCTTCATCCAAAACTACAGTGTCAGTTTCCACACCAAAGTCATTGATTTCTTGCACCACTTGTCACATATCCAGTCCTGCTTGAGCAGAAACTGAGTAGCGAGAAGACAAATTGGATGAAATTTAAGTTATTCAAAATCAACCCACTTCCACTGACTTCATACCGTTCCATTGTCTCTGATCATCATTCACAACATCCATTCACTTGGAACCCACTCTATCCCCCTGGACTTGGCTGAGACTGAATCGGGTCATTCACAGCTTTGGTGTAGTATTTCACCAATGATGAGTTTCTGCCTCCATCACAAATGCAGTCTTCTTTCATCTTTGTAACATGACCTGCCTCTTCCCCTATCTCTGTTCAGCTGCTGCTGGAACCCTCCTCCACTCCTTTGTTACCTCTAGACTCAGCTAATTTAATGCCGTCCTGATCAACCTCCCATCTTCCAACCTCATACCCTAACTCACACCAAGTCCTGTTCAGTGTCACCCCACTGCTCAATGTCCCACATTGACTCCCAGTCCAGCTAAGCCTCAACATTAAAATTCTCAACTTTGTTTTTGAATTCCTCCATGGCCTCACTCCATTCTATTCTATAATCTGTTCCAGCCTTAAAACATTTTGAGACTCCCCAATTTTCATTGCTTAATCATGCATGGCCATGATTGCTTGCTAAATTTCTTCCACTGTCTATCTTCCTCCTCTTTTATGACACTTCTTAAAACCTTCCTCATTGGCCAAGCTTTTGCTTGCCTGCCCCAACATCTGATAATGCAGCTCAATACCAAATTTGTATAGAAATATGCCTGTTTGCAGTTAAAGAAGTGTCACTGGACTCAAAAATGCTAACTCTGCTTTCTCTCCACAGATGATGAGTTTCTCCAGTAATTTATGATTTTGTTTTCAATTTCCAGCATCTGCAGATCTTTATTTTATTTCAATGGAAATACAAGTGGTTCTTGCTCTCGCTGCATGGTGTATATCTCATAATCAACACTTTGTTAGCTGTTCACTGTATTTACCGTGCAGATCTCTTTTTGGGTCCATGGATCCTGCTTAGAACCAGGGCTGGGGATAGGAAATGGTGACAGGAATATTCACCATGAATTCTTCTCATCAAACTGTTACAATTTGCATTTCATTATTATGCTGCACTGAGCATATTTTAAGCAAAATATATCTATTATTTATATGTCTCAGACATTAAGATTAACAAGCGCATGTGTTAACCCAAAACTATCCATTTTCCCCCCACCTATCCTTTTGTTACCAATTCCATTATTCTCTCGAACTATTCAATTTCCCAGCCCTTTGTTACTCCCACACACTCTTCCAAGTTGTTAGCAATATAGCAAGTGTTGTCTGAAATAATTACATATTGCCAGCAATGCTTGCTGACATGCACAGAGAATAAGATTTTTGCATTGTTTTAGAACGGCATTTATATTGAATTAGTAAACAGCTGTCACTGCATAGTAGCTGGCCATACCCTCTGTGCTGTGAGACACTAACATTACTTTTCCCTTCTTTGTTACAGAGCCAACAAGGAAAGGTGTTGTTGCACAGAGCAGACGATTTACAAAAGGTACTCCAAACAGAGCTGCCCCACCACCGCCATCAGGTAAGCAATGGTGTATAAGAATCAATTTATGTAAATAAACAAAGCAACAGAAGTGCAGACAATCTCTTTATCATGCTGACAAATATGTGGCAGCTTTCAATATTTCCTGCTACCAAAGCGTTCACTTAATAGGGCAGAATTACAAGAATGCTCTGGTTGGTAGAGTCATTGCCATGGAGCATGCATGAGGGAATAGTTAACTGTCAATGTGCTAAATTAATTATCTGTAGTAATGTTGCTGCAAACTCAACAGAGGAAATCTTCCTGCAATTGAAACAGGGCTCCTTCCAAGCTTTCTCCTGATCTTTACAATCTGGGATCTCAGCATCCCGAAACAGGAAGAGACGGGAAAATTAGCCTGCTTTGTCTAGATCTCAGCGGTTGCAAAAAAAAACTGTGGAGAGATTTTCTTTTCCTTTTCAAGTGTTAAAGAGGTTAAGCAATAACTCACATAAATAAAATAATGCCAATGTTAAAATAGCAGATTAAACATTTTCATGTGACTATGTTAAACATTTATCTTCTAATACAATCAATAATCATTTAGTTGTCTGAAATCCTATAATAATTTTTAACAACAATAGGAACAATATGAACACTGCTGAAACTTACTGAAGTAAGTAGTAGGGGCACTCCTAACAAAGTAATGTGTGTACCTGTGAGGTATGCATATGATCTGCTGTTGGATCTCATATCTCAATATTCATTGTACTGCTCCAAATTGTACATTTTACTTGTTTTGCAATTGAAAAATGCTAAATCAGGACTGCACACAGTGAAATTAACGCTCATCCCAAATAGAATTTCAAAGGATAAAGTCTTTCAAACAATGGCTATTTTTCTTACTTCAGGGCAATGTCGGAATGGTGCACCAAGATTCCCACAAAATAATCAGACGAAACAGGATCAAACCTATTCCAGACCCATGAAAGGACCAAGAATATGCACCATCAGTTCTGAAATGCCTTCGCTGCCAAAACAAGGTGCAACCACTAAAGCAAGAAGAACAACAAACAATGATGCTAATATGGAATTCATGAAAGTTCCTGATCAGGGAGTTGCAGGGTAGGTCACAAAATATGCTGTGTAGGAGATATACAGGGTCAAATAAAGGTGATCCAGTACAGTTAACATTATGTGTATCCCTGATTCAGAACATTGTGTCTTCATATCCCAGTAAAGGACTTCAGCACCTAATTAAAACTAACCTTATGTTGAGTAATGCAATGCTGTTACTGTCATATCTTGTTGTGTAAGCCACTGTGAAATAGCAAAGGATGTTGTATTACATTAGAGATTCTATATCAATGCAAATTGTTGTTTTTGGATAACAAGGGTCTAGGCCCGAAATGTCAGCTTTCCTGCTCCTATGATGCTGCTTGCCCTGCTGTGTTCATCCAGCTCTACACCTTGTTATCTCAGATTCTCCAGCATCAGCAGTTCCTACTATCTCTGTTGTTTTTGGAGATGCTTTTCAGTAGGACGAGTCGTTCAGCTGAAGGCCTGTATCACATAAAATTACTGCAGTGAAGAAGCAGGCCATTTGGCCCATCAAGTCCACAGTGACCGCCCAAAGAGCATCCCACCCAGACTCAACTGTCTACTCTACCCTCATAGACCTACATCTCCCATGGCTAATCCCCTTGTCTACACATCCCTGGTTACTATGAGCAATTTAGCATGCTCAATCGACCTAAACTGCACATCTTTGGATTGTGGGAGGAAACCCATACAGACACATGGAGAATGTGCAAACTCCACACAGACAGTCACCTACGGTTGGAATCAAACCCAGGTCCCTCGCGCTGTGAGGCAGCAGTGCTAACCACTGAGCCACCGTGCCAGCCTGATTTTTACCATCAGTGGGATTTATGGTCACTTTTTTGTCATGAGAAAGGTTTTGGATTTAAGTTAGGTTGACTGTATTAATCTATGAAAGAAGAACACTTATGCATACAAACATACATATGAATTAGGATTATGCCAATCTGGACCTCACGCCTGACCTGCCATTCAACAAAATCATGGCTCATCTGACTGTAATCTCAAATCTACATCCCCATATGCCCCGGTAACCTTTCAAACCCTTCCTTTAACAAGAACCTACCCACCTCTGCCTTAAAAAAAAAATTCAAGGACTACACTTCCACCACCTTTTTAGGGACAGAGTTACAAAGACTTACAACCCTCTGAGAAAACAAAAAATGCCTAAACTCTGATTTGGATGACCCCTGGTTTTTAAACAATTACCTCTAATTCTAGATTACCCCATAACAGGAATCGTCCTCTCCATGTCTACTGTGTGGAAAATCTTCAGGACCTTGTATGCTTCAATCAAGTCATCTCTCACTCCTCAAAACTCCTGCAGATACAAGCCTAACCCATCCAATGTGCTCTCATAAGACAACCCACACATTCCCGGTCTTAGTCTGAATTTAAAAAGTACACCACTGCAAGCATTGTAGAATATTTATTAAAACCACTCAACACTGCATGCAACCAGAAACTCTGAGATGGTGTTGGTGATTTTAACTCCCTGCCTAGAGACAGATTTGGGAGCGAGAGGTTTGGCTTATCCAGGCCTCATTAACATTCAACTGGCTGGCAACCTGGCCAAAGTGCCTGTGGGAATGATGGACCTTTGGCTGGTAATCCAAAGTAAATGAGGGTATGTGGGTTCTGAGGCAGTCACTGGTTTAGAAGTAGCAGTGCTCAAGGCCAAGAGGCTGATGCCTTCCTTGCAGATTCTCCACAAAGGGCACTTTACTTTTCTCTTTAGTGAACTGAACAGGATCGTACTGTCTGATCAATGGCAGACACCAGAATTACAGGGTAGGATAACATCAGTGTTCTATTGACCCAACAGAACAATAATCTGCAGAAATGGATGAGGCTCAAATCAGGACCCTTACTTGATTGGTTCAGTCTAAACCAATGTGCCAGGATGGCCATGTACAGTGACATAATTGTAGTGTTGCTAGACCAGGAAACCAGCAGTTGTGATTCAAGTCCCATTGTGCTAAGTTCTGAAACTGTAGATTCAACAATATGTGGCCATTTGTGGGCTGGTGCCAAAAAGTACAGCTGAATTGTTGTGAAAACTCAACAGGTTCTGTTATCTTTCAGGGAAAGGACACTAACATTCCTATCTGGGCCAGTGCCAGGCTACAAAACTTGCCCTTGAGACACTCAGCAGTGGCTGAATTTCTTTTCTAATTCATTCATGGGATATAGGCATCGTTAGCCAGGCCAGCATCCCTGGGCAAGATGGTGGCCACTGCTTACCAAAATCTTGCCCATATCCCCGTGCAAATAATATTTGAAGAAACTATGCTTCAGGGTGCAATGAATCTCTTGTTATTAATGTATCTTTGTAGAGTGCAAAGAAGAAGAAGTGTATCTCAAAGACCTCTGCCTGGTGTGGGCCGCCCAAAACCACAAACACAGCGTCCAAGATGTAGGGCACTCTATCAGTACACAGGGCAGGATGTAGATGAAATCAGTTTCAATGTCAATGACATCATTGAAATCCTTCTTGAAGGTAAGAAAATGCAGCTGTTACATATGTTAAAAAATATAATTTGCTGATCACAGCTAGGAAACAAAGAATACATATTAGATTCAAAGCACTGTTGCATCTTTCTTTCCCATATATTAAATACTGATTATTTACAACTGAAGTATTATATATGAATTGGCTTCTATGTTTTCTTGTTCTTATGGGAGCTATAGCTAGACCTGGAAAATTTCAAAATTTTTCTCTTTGAATTCCAACAATTCAATTTATGGAAGTATCGCTGGAGACAGTATCAGGGCTTTTTTTGATTTAAATGACTTACCACTTCATTCAAAGTGAGTTGTCAAGCGAATACACAACTGAATCAATCACACAACATTGCTAATATTTGAAGTGATGTGGCTTATTTCTGTCTCTGGCATCTGGAGAAACAAAGTTGAACACTATGAATGGGTTCTTTGGCCTAACCCCAGTAACCACCCACCGAGGGGTTATGTCATATTAAGTTATTGGCCTATCCTGCAAATCTCCTGACGCCCTTACAAGTATGAACATATGAATTGGAGCAGCAACAGGCTATTTGGCCCTTCAAGTCTGGTCTGCCATTCAATACAATCATAGTGGATCTGTTGGTGTTCTGAGGTCCACATTCCCATCTATCCCATTAACTTTTCATTCCCATACTTAAGAAGAATCTATCCACCTCTGTCTTAAATATATTCAAAGATCTCACCTCCATCACCTTCTGAGGTAGAGAGTTCCAAAGTCACCTAACCTTCAGAGAAGAAATTTCACCTCATTTCTGTTCTAAAATGACGATTGCTCATTTTAAAACATTATCCCTTAATTCTCTACCCATCCACAACAGTAAATATCCTTTCCATGTCCACCTTCTCAAAACCATTCAGGGTCTTATAAATTTCTATCAAATCACCCTTCAGTCTTCTGAACTCTAGTGAAAACAATGTGCTCATTTCAGGTATCAATCTAGTAAACCAACTGTGAACCACCTTTAATGCACTTACATCCTTCCTTAAATAAGGAGAACAAAACTGTGCATAATATCTGAGATGTGATCTCACCAATGCTCCTTATAACTACATATCCTCGCTTTTATGTGCAACTTCTCTTATAGTGTAGCATCCTAAAAGTTCTTTTAATCATTTGCTGTTCCTGAATGCTAACATTTTGTGATTCATGCATGAGAACACTTAGATCTCTCTGCACTTTGGAATGTTGCAGTGGCTGTCCATTTAAGTAATACTCTGCTTTGTTACTCTTCACATTTTCACACATTACACTTCATCTGCCAGGTTTTTGCTCACACACTTTGCCTGCCTATAGCCATCTGCATACTTGTTATCTTCATGACATACATTTCTACCTATAGAGTCATAGAGTTAAACAGCACGGAAGCAGACCCTTCCACCCAACCAGTCTGTGTTGAACATAACCCAAACCAAACTAGTCCCACCTGCCCGTTCCTGGCCCATATCCCTCCAAACCGTTCCTATTCATGTATTTATCTAAATATCTTTTAATCAGATGATTGACAAAAATTGGAACCAGTTGAGGGCCCAGCGCAAATCCTGTGGATCCCCACTCATTGCATCCTGCCAATCTGAGAAAGACTATTACCCCTAGACCATGAGTATTACACTGCGTAATAGAAACAGAAGTTGTTGGAAAAGCTCAGCAGGTCTGGCAGCATCTATGAAGAAAAGATCAGAGTTAACGTTTCAGGTCTGATGTTTGTCTCAGTGTTCTGAGGAAGGGTCATCGGACCCGAAACGTTAACTCTGATTCTTTTCTCCACAGATGCTGTCAGACCTGCTGAGCTTTTCCAGCAACTTCTGTTTTTGTTCCTGATTTACAGTATCTGCTGTTCTTTCGGTTTTTACACTGCTTAATATACCTTTGTGTGGAAGCTTCTCAAATGCCTTCTAGAAATCCACATACATTAAATCAACAGCCTTCCCTCGATCTGCAGCACATATTATTCCCTCGAAAAATTCCGACAAATTGTTAAAACGGGAATTCCCTTTCACAAAACTATGCTGACTCTTCCTGATTAGCCTGAGTTTTGGCAAGTGCCCAGTTATAACTTCCTTAATTACTGATTCTAATAGCTTCCCCATGACAGACATCCCACTAACTGGCCTGTTGTTTCCTGTTTTCTGCCTCCTTTCCTTCTTTCCTTGCTGCTTGATCTGAGTGTGCTAAAATTACATTTAATCCACCATTTTTTTTATTTCAAAAATATACTTTATGTGCATACATAGTCACTAGATCAGTTCGATTCTGTATAGTCTTTACATATGGAGGGCAAACAAACGGCATTTCTTACTTATACAACACAATATTTACATACACTTGAGGCACCAGGATGTTCCGATAACTGAACAGACCTCTATTGTACTTTGGGCAAAAGACCTTACTTGGTGGTCTTTCTCCACTGCATCTTCATGGCAGCTGCCCCAAGCTTTAGTGCATCCCCTAGCATGTAGTCCTGGACCTTGGAATGTGCCAGTCTACAACATTCAGTCAAGGTCAACTCCTTGCTCTGGAAGACCAACACGTTTCCGGCAGACCAAAGAGCGTCTTTCACTGAGTTGATGGCCCTCCAGATGCAGTCGATGTTTGTCTCGATGTGCATCCCGGGGAACAGACCGCACAGCACAGAGTCGCGCGTCATGGAGCTGCCCAGGACAAACCTCAACAAAAACCATTACATCTCTCTCCAGAATTCCTTTGCAAAGGCACATACCAGCAGGAGATGTGTGACAGTCTGTCCCCTGCCTGCAGCTGCTCCCAGAGCAGCATGTGGTGGCACAGATACTCTGAGCGTATCTGAAGGACATGGCGGATACTACCCATCTCAGCACCAGCCAAGCAACGTCTTGGTGCTTGTTAGGAAGTTCTGGTGAAGAGGCATTCTACCAAATGACTTTGACAGTTTGCTGAGGGAATCACGCAACAGGATTCACCACCTCCTTTTCCCACAGTGTCTCAAGGACGCTATGTGCTGACCACTACCTGATGGACTTGTGGTCAACAGTGTATTTCTTTGCAAATTTCTCCACAAAGGACAGGTGATACAGAATTGTCCAACTACTTGGAGCGTTCCATAGCAAGAAGTCTATGTCCATCCTTCACAACACACTGGGGACAGGTAGAACCTCAGTACACAGTGACTCTTGGTGTTTGCATACCGTGGGTCTACGCACAGCTCGATGCAGCTGCACACAAAGGTGGCCTTCAGGGTGAAGGTGGGTATGTTCTTCACCTCCTTATCCAGAGTTTTGTACATGATGTCCCTGTGGACACAGTCCATCTTAGACCTCCAGATGAAGCAGTAGATGGCTCAGGTGACTGCAACGGCACAGGTCCAGGGAATGGGCCAGACCTGCGGCATGTACAACAACACGAGAGAGTACCTCACACCTGATATCCAGGCTTTTATCCAAAACGGAGAAGAAACGGTACTCCCAAAAGCCCAGTTTCGGCCTCACCTTGGCGATACATTCCTCTCAAGTTTTTGCAAAATGCCTCAGCTTCTCTGAACCACATTCCCAGCACCTTCAGGTAATCTGTCCTGGTGGTGAAGGGGATAAAGGATCAGTTGGTCCAGTTCCCAAAGAACATGGCCTTACTCTTGCCTTGATTTACCTTGGCTCCCAAGGCCAGTTCAAACTGATCGCAGATGCTCATGTAATCTGTGATACTCAGTGTGAAATCCACACTTCAGTTTCTGCAGCCTGCTCTGCAACATTCATGTCAATGGCGTGGCCCTGTTTAGATTCATCCCCTCTACATTGAATTGAATTTATAATAATGTCCACCAGTCAAAATAAGACAAAAATAGTTTATTTGATGCTTAATTTTTAACTTGCGGAGAGAACAGGTCGTCTTCTTTGGCAAACTGGTAGCCTGATTTAGTTTACATTTTCTTTTAAAAGTGTACATGAGAATTTGAACATGGACATGTATGCAAATCTGATGAATACCTTGAATTTTCCAGATCCGTCAGGATGGTGGAAGGGTCGTTTACATGGAAAAGAAGGTCTTTTTCCAGGAAATTACGTGGAGAAAATATGAACTATTGTGAACTTGGTTCCAAATCTGGCAGAGAATCAGAAGCAAAGAAAAATGGATCAGCTAATGGACAACCTGTGCAACAGAGCGATCATCCAAGAGGAACTTTTTATTCAGGAATGGCTTCATTCTCAATACGCATTTATGGGAACTGAAACTGGCCTTTCAGCAGCTCCTATTTGTTCCAACATTCAATTAGATCATAACTAATCTGCATCTCAACTCCATCTACCTACCATTATAACAATAAAGCTGCTTAAAAAATCAGTTTAAACTGGGGTTTTACAGTCACAATTTATAACCAGTGCTGTAATTAAGACATCAGTGAAAACCCTTGTTTAAAAAGAAATTAGCAGGAGATTTGAATGTATATACATACATTTTGTAGCTTTTACTTGTTATAAGGTTTGATAAGCAAATGAAGCTTAGCTAAAACTATTGAGTTAGCATAAATTATTTGTATTATCTTTCCCTTTTGCTATAGGATACAAACCACCAATGAAAAATGTCTATTTTGAGGTAGATTTTGTGTTGGAAGGTACTTAGCACAAATAGGGCACATTCAAGCCAATTAGGAGCAGTACTTTGATAATGTCTTCTTGCTTAGTACACAATAAAATGTAACATGAGTTACAAGAAGAAGTACTGACAATTACAGGGCAACATACAGTATTGCCTGCAATTCTGGTCTCCCTCCTATACAAAGGATATTGTGAAACTAGGAAGGGTTCAGAAAAGATTTATGAGGATGTTGCCACAGTTGGAGGGTTTGAGCTAAAGGGAAAGGGTGAATAGGCTGGGGATATTTTCCCAGGAGTGTCGGAGGCTGAGGAGTGGCCTTATAGAAATTTATAAAATCATGTGGGGTAGAGATAGGGTAAATCAGCAAGGTCTTTTCCCTGGGTGGGGAAGTCCAAAACTAGAGGGCATAGGTTTAGCTGAGAGGGTAAAGATATAAAAGGGACCTAAAGAGCAACTTTTGCAGGCAGAGGTTGGTGCATGTCTGGAATGAGCTACTAGAGGAAGTGGTAGAGGCTGGTACGATTACAACATTTAAAAGACATCTGGATGGCTACATGAATAGGAAGGGTTTAGAAAGATATGGGCCAAATGCTGGCAAATGGGACTAGATTTATATAGGATATCTGGTCGGCATGGACAAGTTGGTCCAAAGGGTCTATTTCCATGCTGTATAAGTCTTTGAATCTATGTGCATTAGATTGTTTATTTAAAGGGACAGTTACTCAGGGATTGGTTCAGTAAACCTCATTCAACTGTCATGTCGCCTTCTATTTCCTGTCTTCAAATTTCCCGTCAGTGACATCATCAAAATCATAGCATAAAGTTGCATATGATTGCTGACAACACCCATCTCTACCTCACTAAAGGAAAGGCAAATTTGCCACAGTCTTACCAGACAAAGGGCTGCTCTCTCCTTAAAGAGAGACAACTGGTGGTGCTTTAACCTGAGGTGACAATGCCTCAAGTTAGGGGAGAATTTGAGAAGGAGGATCCTTCATGGTAACCTCAAGTGCCAGGGAATTGAACCCACACTGTTGGCACCACTCTGTACTGTAAGCCAGTCATCCAGCTAATCTGAGCTAACCAACATTCATCTCTACCGTGCCTTAGTCCCTGCATCATCTCTAAGTTGTCAGACTCTTGTTCAACATCCAGTATTGGAAGAGAAAAATGTTCTTCCACAAAATATCAAGAAAACCAATGTTATGATCTATTGTCTTAGCAACCAACTTCATTCCTGTGCCTAGTAAATATCAAAGCAGACTGTTTGCAACACTGTTGTTGTGTTTGACCCTAGCATGAGCGACAAACTGCACTTTCATGTGATCACGAGTCTGTCGACTTCCAATTCTATGACAATGCCCACATCCTATCCCACCTCCTCCACTCATCTGTTGCTGAATTAATAATCTTTAAGGCCCCACCCCCATCCATTATTGTTAGATTTAATCCTAAACTAGGCAAGATTTCAGATCATTAAAAAATTTAGTCAATGTTACTAATTATAAACTTGGTCCTGTAATGAAATGTCCTCCCTATTAGAAGTTTTCAAACTAGCAAAATTATCTCAGGATAGAATCTATCTACAGATAAACTACAACAGAATCAACTTGCCAAGCGAACCAATAGAATCCTAGCTTAGGAATTCAAGGATATTGTTATCCAATTGTGGGTTCTTGTAGAATTAAGTGTGAAACTACAAACCTCTAATTACTTAAGAATATTTATTATAGGAATCAGTTCTGATTTACATTGTAATAATGAGTACAATATAATTGATTATAGAATAATTAAGGACAATCAATTCACTTAGAACCAGGGGACACAGTTAAGAAGGAGAGCCCTCTCTCTCTCCATGGATGCTGCCTGGCCCACTGTGATCTCCAGCAATTTGTGTTTTCAAAACATTGAATGTTTTCAAGAGGAACTAAATATAGTTCTTTGGGGCTAAAGGGATCAAAAGGTATGGGGAGATAAGGTACTTAGTTACATTATTAGCCATGATCATACTGAGTGCTGGAGAAGACTTGATGGGCTAAATAACCTACTCCTGCTTCTATTTTCTCTGTTCATAGGATCACAGAATTCCTACAGTGTGGCAACAGGCCATTCAGCCCATCAAATCCACATTGACCCTCTGAAGAGCATCCTACCCTGACCCAATCCCTATTGTTTATATATAGCAACAAAACTAACGAAAGTAAATATTCAACAACATATCTACTTTATAAGGAGTGGTGACTAGATGTTCAATTAAAAGCTGTTATGTTGTGAAAATTCTGCTTTAAATTTAAACACAACCTTTAAATCTCAAAGGAAAAACTGGATAGTCAAACAAATATGTTAAGAAGATCATTTTCACAATCCAAGTATAGTTTCTCAGTAAAATGAAGTGCCTTTGTCTCAAGCATTCATTAATAGCAAATTAACAGGAGAGCCTAGCAGACCAGACTGTACGTGCTGTTAACACAAAACAGTTTTGGTCTATCTCTGCTGATCCGCAAAGCTAAATTTTTAACAATAAATTACTGTTCTCTGTAGGTCTAGAAAAACATTGTTATTATTTAGTGTCATCAAAGATGAAAAAATTGATGGATCAAAATAATCTGTTTTCAAAAAATCTGATTCTCAGTAAACAGGGGCAAAGTCATCCATACCTCCATAACCATTTGTAACACTATAAGCTTGCTTCTGGCAAAGCTTCAGATTCTCATACTGCCTAATTCAGAAATTAAATTTAACACCTTAATTGCTGAATTACTTTGGTGATTATCTTCACAGCTGAAACCCTCACTCATGGCTTTGTTACTTCTGGATTTAACAATTCTAAGACAGTCTAATCTGGCCTCTTATCTCTAACCCTCTCTAAATTTGAGATAGTCTAAAAATCTGCTATCTATCCTAACTGCAAACGTTCCACTTACCCCATTACCCATTAGCTTGCTGGACTATATTGTCTCCCAATCTAATGAACCTCAACTGTAATGTTCTTATTCCTGTCTTCAACTACCTTGTTGCTTTCTCCTCTCCCTATGTTTGTAACCTCCTGTAGCTCATTAACAGTCCAATTCACTACTCTTCCAATTCTGACCTCTGCTGCATCACTTGTTTTAATTGAATGACAATACCTAGACCCTAAACTGTGAAATTCCCTCCCTCAACTTCTCTATCTCTCTACTTCCTCCTCCTCCTCTTAGATATTTCTTAAAAGCTATCCATTTGACAAACTTTTCAATCATCTGGCCCAATGTTTCTTCATGTAGTTCGACATCCAGTCTTACTGAATAATATTCCTATGAAGTGACTCAGGTCTTTGCCAGAAGTGTTATAGGAATTTAAGCTTTTGCTGTAAAGCACAAAAAAAACGATACTGGAAAAAGGATAGGATGTCAAAATCCATCACCTATGGCCTCAACAGGTCCAATTCTCAGAAAGCTAGACTAACCTCTTGCCCACTTTGTCCTCTGAATGGACTGTGAGTGAGGTTATACTAGAAAAAAATGAAAACTGTGTGAAATCACAGACCTATCATTACAGAAAATGCATGTCATTCAAAAGTTTAATAAAAAAACTTTGGGTGCGTTCAATTTTTCTAAATAGTATGTTTCTTAATACATTATGTGAGAATGACACAATCAGTTGAGCTTGCTATATATTTTTATATCCTAAGGATTAAGTCTTTGATATGTGTCTTTTTTACCTTTGTAAGAACTCTTGATTTTGCAGTTTTTCATTTCCAAAGATAACCCACAAAGTTGCACTTATGTAAGACCTTTAAAGGAGTTAAAGTTCCCAAGACAGAGCCAGCAAGGAGATATGAGGATGGATGATCAAAAGTCTGGTCAAAGAGCTGGTGGAGCACCAATGGCTGAGTGATGAAAATCAGGCATGTGGATTTTATTATTCATCACGCAGAGAAACAAACTCACTCCAAGCCACCATGAACAAAATTAAACCAAATAAATTAATTTCTCTGAAACTGAACCCTAATAATGTGCAGAAAGAGTAATCACTATTTTGTCTCACCTTCCTGGAGTATACATTGTGCATCCTACTGTTGGTCAAAGCAAATCTATATTTAAATTAGGTGAGATAACAAGGTGTAGAGCTGGATGAACATAGCAGGCCAAGCAGCATCAGA